AGTTCCTATCAACCATATACATTTTGATATATAGCTTCGTAATTTACTGGACTGCCTCAATCATATTTATACTGAGTGTTCTACACATTGTATATTACCATTAGAATACCTCAAAGTTGATGTGATGGGCTTAGGAAAAAGATTGTGCACTTTTCCTGATGCGAGTTCCTATCAACCATATACATTTTGCCATATAACTTCGTAATTCACTGGACTGCCGCAATCATATTTATACTGAGTATTCTACACATTGTATATTACCATTAGAATACCTCAAAATTGATGTGATGGGCTCAGGAAAAAGATTTTGCACTTTTCCTGATGTGAGTTCCTATCAACCATATACATTTTGCCATATAACTTCGTAATTTACAGGACTGCCGCAATCATACTCATACTGAATATTCTACACATTGTACATTACCATTAGAATACCTCAAAGTTAATGTGATGGGCTTAGGAAAAATATTGTGCACTTTTCCTGACGCAAATTCCTATCAACCATATAGATTTTGCCATATAACTTCGTAATTCACTGGACTGCCGCAATCATACTCATACTGATTATTCTAAACATTGTATATTACCATTAGAATACCTCAAAATTGATGTGATGGGCTTAGGAAAAAGATTGTGCACTTTTCCTGACGCAAATTCCTATCAACCATATAGATTTTGTCTTATAGCTTCGTAATTCACTGGACTGCCGCAATCATACTCATACTGATTATTCTATACATTGTATATTAGCATTAGAATACATCAAAGTTGATGTGATGGGCTTAGGAAAAAGATTGTGCACTTTTCCTGACGCAAATTCCTATCAACCATATAGATTTTGCCATATAACTTCGTAATTCACTGGACTGCCGCAATCATACTCATACTGATTATTCTAAACATTGTATATTACCATTAGAATACCTCAAAATTGATGTGATGGGCTTAGGAAAAAGATTGTGCACTTTTCCTGACGCAAATTCCTATCAACCAATGTATAATTGACATTATATAAATATAAAAACATCATTTCGCACCGTATTGTCATTGATTTGTGTTTCCGTCATCCCTGCAAAACACGTTTGTGGCGTCCGCAGGCGTACCAACCCACATCTATTACAAACCGAAACTTTTCCTGACGCAAATTCCTATAAACCATATAGATTTTGCCTTATAGCTTCGTAAAACACTGGACTGCCGCAATCATATTTACCCTGAGTATTCTACACATTGTATATTACCATTAGAATACCTCAAAATTGATGTGATGGGCTTAGGAAAAAGATTGTGCACTTTTCCTGACGCAAATTCCTATCAACCATATAGATTTTGCCTTATAGCTTCGTAATTCACTGGACTGCCGCAAGCATACTCATACTGATTATTCTATACATTGTATATTAGCATTAGAATACCTCAAAGTTGATGTGATGGGCTTAGGAAAAAGATTGTGCACTTTTCCTGATGCGCGAGTTCCTATCAACCATATACATTTTGCCATATAACTTCGTAATTCACTGGACTGCCGCAATCATATTTATACTGAGTATTCTACACATTGTATATTACCATTAGAATACCTCAAAGTTGATGTGATGGGCTCAGGAAAAGGATTGTGCACTTTTCCTGATGCGAGTTCCTATCAACCATATACATTTTGATATATAGCTTCGTAATTTACTGGACTGCCTCAATCATATTTATACTGAGTGTTCTACACATTGTATATTACCATTAGAATACCTCAAAGTTGATGTGATGGGCTTAGGAAAAAGATTGTGCACTTTTCCTGATGCGAGTTCCTATCAACCATATACATTTTGCCATATAACTTCGTAATTCACTGGACTGCCGCAATCATATTTATACTGAGTATTCTACACATTGTATATTACCATTAGAATACCTCAAAATTGATGTGATGGGCTCAGGAAAAAGATTTTGCACTTTTCCTGATGTGAGTTCCTATCAACCATATACATTTTGCCATATAACTTCGTAATTTACAGGACTGCCGCAATCATACTCATACTGAATATTCTACACATTGTACATTACCATTAGAATACCTCAAAGTTAATGTGATGGGCTTAGGAAAAATATTGTGCACTTTTCCTGACGCAAATTCCTATCAACCATATAGATTTTGCCATATAACTTCGTAATTCACTGGACTGCCGCAATCATACTCATACTGATTATTCTAAACATTGTATATTACCATTAGAATACCTCAAAATTGATGTGATGGGCTTAGGAAAAAGATTGTGCACTTTTCCTGACGCAAATTCCTATCAACCATATAGATTTTGTCTTATAGCTTCGTAATTCACTGGACTGCCGCAATCATACTCATACTGATTATTCTATACATTGTATATTAGCATTAGAATACATCAAAGTTGATGTGATGGGCTTAGGAAAAAGATTGTGCACTTTTCCTGATGCGAGTTCCTATCAACCATATACATTTTGCCATATAGCTTCGTAATTTACTGGACTGCCTCAATCATATTTTTACTGAGTGTTCTACACATTGTATATTACCATTAGAATACCTCAAAATTGATGTGATGGGCTTAGGAAAAAGATTGTGCACTTTTCCTGATGCGAGTTCCTATCAACTATATACATTTTGCCATATAACTTCGTAATTCACTGGACTGCCGCAATCATATTTATACTGAGTATTCTACACATTGTATATTACCATTAGAATACCTCAAAGTTGATGTGATGGGCGCAGGAAAAAGATTGTGCACTTTTCCTGATGCGAGTTCCTATCAACCATATACATTTTGCCATATAACTTCGTAATTTACTGGACTGCCTCAATCATATTTATACTGAGTATTCTACACATTGTACATTACCATTAGAATACCTCAAAGTTGATGTGATGGGCTTAGGAAAAAGATTGTGCACTTTTTCCTGATACGAGTTACTATCAACCATATACATTTTGCCTTATAGCTTCGTAATTCACTGGACTGCCTCAATCATATTTATACTGAATATTCTACACATTGTATATTACCAATAGAATAGCTCAAAGTTGATGTGATGGGCTTGGGAAAAAAGATTATGCACTTTTTATGTTCGGAGTTTTAATTGATCGCGTTATGTTAAGCCATAGCTACGTATAATGTACACTACGGTCTCAAATATGCCTTTTAAAATAGGTCAATTAATTAGTATTAACTTGTATACACGTTTTATCAATGTATAATTGACATTATATAAATATAAAAACATCATTTCGCACCGTAGTGTCATTGAATTGTGTTTCCGACATCCCCGCAAAACACGTTTGTGGCGTCCGCAGGAGTACCAACCCACATCTATTACAAACCGAAAAAGCGCCGATGAAAAGAGCCGCTAACTTCACGACGGTTAAATACATGTATGTTTCGTTTTTCCCGCGTAAATTTAGATCCTCCTATTTCCTCTTTGTACAGTATAGCAGCAAAAAGAGAAGGTGGTTCTGGTTAAAAAAAAAACTAAAAAACTCTTGTTTCCACCACAGTACAGTATACGACGACGTAGCCTGCCTTGCTGTTGCCATTGATTATCAAATGGCCCATGTCTATGTTTACATTTGAAAATTCAGAGATTCGAACTAGTGACCGGGTGACCCTCAGTTTTTGGCACACCCCCCTGTATTGGAAAAAGTTAAACTAATATTTTTACATTATTCCTTGGGGTTGATTTAGCGGGAAATAATTTTATTTCATCTTTGTAAGTTAAGTAGTTTTTTCGTAATCAATTTAAGACACCTCTCGTGGGACACTCTGTATATGACAAGACAAGAATGTTTATTGAAAACATTTTTTCTCAGCTCCTGGCTATGTGCATCGCAGGGAAAATTAATTTACGCATATTTTTAGAAAACTATTTGTAGATGTCAGGAATCCCTTTATAAATTAAATAGGCTCAAAAATAAGCACAACAAATAAATTTGAAATAAAAACAATTAATATGAGCCTTATGGGTTGCCATGTTGGTGACGAAATAACAACAGAAAATCGAAACAAATTGAAGAAATTCCAATCACACGTTTATTTATAGTGTGGGGTAAAAATAGAGAAGTTTGTACAATACATACTTTATTTGGTTGAGTTTTCGACCACAGGGCGAGCTCCTAGTTTTTTATTAAATTTATGATCATAACTTTAAATTAATACAGTAATACGCAATTGAATGAATGGGTGTCAAAACTGTCTTCCATGTTAGCTTAAGGAACGTCTGGGTATAAACAGCACTACTTGCGATGTTGCCAATTCTACCATGCCGCGTCCTGGAGTTAAAGGTGGCCCTGGCTCATTCTGTCGAGGTGATCATCCGTCTCCATGGATTCCGTCATATCCATATTAAGGAGGACTTTAAGTTACCCGAGATTGATTGGTTAGTAAAATGCTTTTACACTGAGCAATTAATATACTAATTCCACTTGTTGGGTGCTGCTAGCTTAGTGGTTAGCGTCCCAGTAGACTTCGGAGCAGACGGGTACAATTCCAGGCACATCCACAAAACATTTATTCTCCCGTGACATCTCTTATGAAATGTCACTGGAGAATAAACACACGTACACTCAACACAACAATTCATCATTATCTTTACGCAGCTTGGCTTGCTTGTTCAATCCATCACAAGTTCATAAAAAAGAAACAGGTGAGTACCACGTCAGATTATCATATTTTCCTTCTAAAAGGCTATCACCCTTCACTGTTCTTCGCCGATTCAATAGCAGGGGTCCTTCGTGATATATGTTGCTTTGTTGCTTATAAAATAAATGTCAAGATCAAGTGAAATCAATTATCTATAATAATTATTGCCTCTTGCCTGCCTGCTCTCCACTCCCTACGCTCCCTACCGGCCTACCGCTTACCGCTTCACTTTGTTTCTTTTCTTCTTGTTTCTTGTTTCCATTCATCTCTCGTTTCGTCGTTTCGGCTCCTTCGTTTTTCGTTATGCCAGTTGCCATTGCCATTGCCAGTAATCAGTAACAAACCTTACTTTTCTTAAATAGGCCTACTAGTGCAAGAAGATCGAATTGGTGTTATGTTTACTTGAGGTGTTTTATAGTAGGCTCTGAATTCAATTTATAAATTAATCAGTCATGTCGTCCTTAGAAAACCTAACCGATGGCGAAATTCGCACTAAACTGGCACAGTTGGGATACCCTGTTGGTCCTATTACGGCCACTACACGGAAGGTATTACTCAAGAAACTTAAACATCTTATGGAAGAAGGTAAATCTCCTGGGAGTTTAAAGAAAGATCGTTCAAGTTTAACTAAGTATAGTTCAGATGAGAGTGAAGACGACAGCGTTTCGAACACTCGCAACCGGCGTTCTATGCCGCCGCCTCCTCCCAAGAATGCTCAGAAGCCTACTACAGTGAAACGTAGATCACTAAGCCGCAGATCACAAGATTTAGAAGATGATACCATAAATCTAGGGCTAGATGACGAAAGTGTCAATTCAGACTTTCCCACTCCCTCGGCTAGTAGCACATTTAATTCTTCAGAACTAATATCTGGTTCTAGGTCTTCAGCGAATAAATACTCTCCCAAAAATGTAATTGCGCCTATCAATCACAAAACATCTCCTGACAATCATAGGCGCAATAATAATTCTGCTTTTAGTTCTTTTTCAACAAATTTTCAATCTAGATTTAGTACTCAGAAACAAGATGCATTTGATACTGGATCTGACACGGATGGTATTGATGAAGTTGAAAGCACCCATCCGTCTCCCAGCAAAACTAAGAATTCTTACTCATCTTACATACCAAGCATTGGTGGTTCTACTGTTGCATCCAAAACGAGATCAAGGTTTCAACCGCAGTCTTTTACTTCTGGTAATGATTACCCAAGATTTTCACCCAAGAGCGTTGTCAACACTGATAATAATAGCCAAAGTTCACCATTCAGCTCAGATTTTGTACGACGTCTAGCTGCAGCTTCAGCCAACAAATCAGGTAAAGTCACCGTCAATAACTTAACAAGGCTACCTAGGCATAACTTACAAACAATTGGGTTAAGTTAACGTGTTATTTTATTTTGTAGATTGCCCATGCCGTAGGCCTATGCTATATATTTTTCATTTTGTATGTTCAAACGCCAAGTTATGGTAGCCTAGGCTATAAGTTAATGTAAGTTACTGGCCTACCCTAGGCCTATTAGGTAAGTAAGTTAGGCTAGCCTATCCTCCCTAGTTTAAACCTACCCTTGGTCCAATTAAATTACTATAATCATGGAGCAGACACGTCCGGTCCGGACGTGGATTAGGGGTCTGGCAGTGACGTCACCGGGTTGTGAGGGCCCGGAACTCCATTACCACAACGAAACGATGCACAGCCACCGGGGTTCGTGGAGTAGAGGATAGAGTGCTCGGCTGATATAAAAGAGGTCCCTGGTTCAAATATTGGTAACTTTAACTTTTTGTCAAAGATTTTGCTTTGAATGCCATTTCTTCTTAACTGTAGGCCTACATCTTTTGTTAGAATTTTTAGCATTTATAACTTTATTTTATGAACAAAATTTAACCTTCATTTGATTGTTTTATTATCAGCAATTTGGTTGGCTAGGTTAGGTTATGACAGTAGGCTAGGTTAGTTATGTAAGTTTACTGCCGGACGCCTAATCCATGTCAGGTTACCGGACGCGTAGGCCTATCCTCTGCGTATTTAATATCAAGCTTCAACAGTCTAATAAGTTACCCTCTTGAAAGCTGAATTAAATTATGTGCCTGAGTTCTCAAATCAAATCAGGCTAGGTAAGTTATTTAAACTTAGGTACCGGTAGGCCTATTTAATTTTTAAATTTTCCCCTAAGAGAGTAGGCCTACCGTAAACAATATCAAGTTAAGCCCTACTTTTTTCTTTTAACCCTCCAAGTGTCAATATTTTAGGCCTTAATGTCCACCTATTTTTGGCGCATTTGCAAGGTTTTATTAAAACGGATCTGAGAAGCTTAAAACAATGTTAATTCTAATGTTCTATATACCATTTTGTTTGGAAAATCATGGGCTTCAATATCATACATGAAACATAAGGAATATTTGTTTCAAAAATATTTTTAGGTAAAAAAAATTATTTTGGAAAAATTGAAAAAAAAAAATAAGTTCGCGCTCAATGAAATTGTATAAATTATAGGCCTATAAATATTTGAAAATAGCCACTTTGTTCTAAATTTTATGAGGATTACAAATATATAATCATATAGTGAGGTAAGTTATCAAATAAATAAGTTATGAGTGAAAAACAGATTTCAGTACATTGCGTTTAGCTAAGAATGCATAGCCTAACCATAGCTAGGAATCTGGCTGATAATTTACATCAATATCACTACCTACTTCTTCAGGATCATCAACCAGCCCTTCAAAATCACTTAAAATCTTCTTATAATGCACCACGTATATCACTACTTTTGATTTTTAACACTAAAACAATGATAAACGTAATAAAACACATCAGTCATCGGTCCGAGGATAACCAAGCTGCTTACAAATACGAACGTCAGCTGTCTGCTACAATTACGATCGGCTCGGAGAACATACAGCGCTGAGACAGACCTCTGGAGAAAGCTTAGAATATAACGGAAAGAACGATACCCAACTCGATCCAGTTCAATCCGAATCAGTCAGTCATAGAGCCTTCGCCGTAAACGATGTCTGCGTGTCGAAAAATCGACAAGTAACACTACACAAAGTGTGCTGCTTGTCGAATTTTCGTCAAGTAACACTGGGAGGGTTAATTGGATGTTATGTAAACTTAGGGGTACAGTTTTCTTACTGGTAAGGCATTGGGTTAAGTTAGGTTAGGTTCTTGATACAATTTGAGTTGACATTTAACCAAATCCCCAACGCATTGTTACATAAGGTTAACTAACTTAGTTTTTCCAATTAGCCTAACTTAGGCCTATCAGGCTTTTAGACCCACTGCACATTGGAGCGAGGCGAGGCACAGATGATTCTGTAATATACATGTTTAAATGGAGCACCGCACATTGATCGTCTGTCAGACCTCCGCGGCGATGTAAGTTAGGCGTTGTTTGCGCCTGCGTTGGTTTTCTAGTGTTTTGTGAGTGAAAGATATATAGTAATGGAGTATTTAATTCAGATGGCTAACTTATATGTTGTTGAGCATTGCATTCCTTTTCGTTACCTGATGCCACTTTTCAATAAAATGATGGATATCATCAAACTGTTGTTTGTTCACACGAAAATATTCTCTAATAGACTGGTCTGTCAGTTCAGTAGTTAAAACATACTCTCCATGGCCTAATATGTTTTTATGTAGGTAGGCCTAATCACTTTTTCCTAAAACATTTTTATTTTTTCGGATAGCGAATAGAGTAAAATTAAACTACTATTCAACTCACAATCAGAATCAGTTGAGGTCAAAAAAATCTTCCTCTACTAGCGAAAGTAGGGCCAAAGCTAGGAAACCTCTGTTCGCCTCGCTTAAATGTGCGGTGACACAAAAAAGTCCTTGCTCCCGCCTGCATCTAGCCTGAACCTCGTCTCGCTCCAATGTGCAGCGGGCCTTGCGAGGTTATTAGCTATTAGATCATTCATCCAATTGGCTTGAGCTTACCCTAATTTCGATTGAAATGATCGATTATAAAGTTGGGCTAATTGATATTTTTAACTAGGGTATTTAAGAAAATGGACTAAGACTTGCTGATGAGTAAATTGAATAAATAAAGGTTTACTAATGTATATATTTTCAATAGATAGGCCTATTCGGGTATATCCCAGTTAAGAAACTTTAACTTTACACCCAAACTTAGTTTTAGGCCTACTTGATTATTTTTATCTTAAACAAAGAAGGATCATTATTTTATCTTTTTAATCTTAGGCTTAATTTAAAAAAGGCTTTAAACACAGTGTCATTTGTTATTAGTGTTTTATTAGGCCTAAGCATAAGTTATGTCCCGATTCTATATTGTGTTTAAAAAAATGAAAACATCTGGAAATGTAGGCTGAGTTATACGGTAGGCCTAACTACAAAAATATGAGATTTAAAAAAACACCCAACCTACCAAACTCACATGTCTAAATAAAAACTGGAGCAGTTCATAATCAACGGTCAGTTGAATTTACAAATGCCTCTAAGTTACCTCTTTGTATAAACTTACTCTTTGTCATCTTTGGTTTCTTCTTCCCTAGACAATCCTTTTAATTTCAAACGTTCATGTTTGTGTTAGTCTAGTCACTAGTCAGTCAATTCACTTCACAGTAATGGCTACAGAGACCAGCCGACAAGAGGCATTACAGTTAACAACTTCAAAAAATCTTAGTAAATTCAGTTTTTGTGGCAGCAAAAAAATTTTTGCACCATTATTTTCAGTTAAAAATCTAGTTTCTAATGATATATAAATTACTATTGAACTCTTGGTCACCCTCATAGATATAATTTCCAAAACAAGAACAAAAACATTAATCCTAGGACTAGCAACATGACGATTTTTGTCATAACTTATGCCTGTGCTTCCAAAATACCTCATATGACAAAAATCGTCATATAGTGTCACTTTCTTTTAAACAGCTTATAACTCATTTAGAATGATTCTATAACCAAATAATTTTGATACCATTCGAACGATGAGATTCTAAACTTTCATTTTCATATTAGGCCTGTGAACGATTCTTAAGATCAATTTTATTGTCATTACAATTTGAATGAAAATTTATGCGCGAGACGATTGTGAGTTTGCCTTGTCATTCATTACTCATGTTCAATAAATCCTAGCACCGATATTGTAACAATAAAACAAAAAGATTTACCGTAGGATACTCGTAAATTATGGGTAGGCTAAATGATTATTATTTGTGGTAAAATGTGTGATTATGAAATGTCACTTGCTTTTCAGTGTTAACGAAACGCTTGAGACCAAGCGACTTGTCAATTGACCTTGACCGGCTACTTGCCGTCTTTTGTCTAAAATGCTTATGGAACCTTTAAGTACCAGGCCTATTTATTATTTCTATATACAAAGGCCTATATACAGTGTGTAAATTAAGTATGGAAACAAATCTGTATTTTTAAAACCGAAATAGATAGAAATATTCTATTTGTGGCAATAATAGTTAACAAAGATTCCGCAATTTTTCACATGAAAAATATTTTTTTACCCCCCTAACAGGGTAGGTGGTAGGGGGTGACTTATTTTTTTCAAATAGCAACCCCTATTGAGTGACCCCTCATTTTGAAGAGTTTGTCAAAAGAAACACAATGACGCAAATCCGAGGTGAATATCTCACTCCTAGCCCAAATGGCGGATATTCCAAAATTTGATTTATTGTACGTGAAAAGCACCAATTTCACAAATAATGGAAAGAAATCTGTATTTTTAAAACCGAAATAGATAGAAATATTCTGTTTGTGGAATTGATTGTTGACATAGGTTCCGCAATTTTTTTAATCAACAATATTTTTTCAACCCCTTTAACAGGGTAGGGGGTGGGAGTGACTTATTTTTTTCAACAACAACCCCTATTGAGTGACCCCTCATTTTGAAGGGTTTGTTAAAAGAAAAAGAATGACGCAAACCCGAGGTAGATATTTCACCCCTAGCCTAAATGGTGGGTAATGAAAAATTTAATTTTTGTAAAAAAAAGCCCATTTTGGAATATCCGCCATGTTAGCTAGGAGTGAGATATTCACCTCGGATTTGCGTCATTGTGTTTCTTTTGACAAACCCTTCAAAATGAGGGGTCACTCCATAGGGGTTGCTATTTGAAAAAAATAAGTCACCCCCTACCACCTACCCTGTTAGGGGGGTAAAAAAATATTTTTCATGTGAAAAATTGCGGAATCTTTGTTAACTATTATTGCCACAAATAGAATATTTCTATCTATTTCGGTTTTAAAAATACAGATTTGTTTCCATACTTAATTTACACACTGTATAGGCCTAGGCCTACTTGTTTAGAAATATGTATACTATGAATATTTGTAGGCTACCATTTATTGTTATATCATAAAGTAAAAAATAATACTTAAGCTACAGCTTTGAATAGGTAACTTATTTTCTTTTACGACAAAAATAATGTTTTCTTTATAAACTAATATTAATTAGGCCCTACTGTGCACTTAAGTGTATTCTTATAATAATATAAACAGGCTTAGCTTATTACAGTGATTTTTTCTGCCTTTCAAATAATTTGTGTTGGTACATATATATATCGATATTTCCAACTTGATATATTGACGAGTTTTCCATATAGGGAATAAGCTATTACCGTAAGTTACTCATGGTAAGACCTTGACCCGGCAACGATTTACTTTTTTGTTTTGAGGTCCCTAGAGGCCAAAACACCATCCGTTCAAATTCATATATATAGGCCATATACAGTGTGTAAATTAAGTCTTGAAACAAATCTGTATTTTTAAAACCGCAATAGATAAAACGTAGAATTGTATAATACACTAGTATTACTAGTCCATAGATTAGTCCATAGACTAGTAAATACTAGACTAGTATTTTTATGAAACGGTGGCCCCAGGTGTATATTTTGAGTTGCTAAGCCAAAATATGGCAACTTAGAAAAATTTGCATCTTTGTACATAAATACTCTGCATCATTTCAGGCTCAGGACTTCCCCCTCGCTTGCTGGACGTTAAGGAAAGTGATGACGAAGACTCAAGTTCAACACGCATATTTGCACATCAGAGCCAATGGTAGGAAATTGTTTTCTAGGCTACTTAAAATAGTGGATCAGTGGAAGTAGGCCTATACAGGCACGGTCTTTTTAACCGTTGGTTGTATCAGTCGGTATTATTAAATCTTACTAATATTATAAATTTGAAAGTTTGTGTGTTTGTTTATTTGTTTGTTTGTTTGTTTGTTTGAAGTTCAATCACGCATTAACTACTGGACAGATTGGGCTGAAATTTTTCATGATGATACCTCACATTCCCGATTAACATATAGGAATATTCTTATCTCAAAAATCCTTTTGGGCTCCACCCCAGTGGCTCTGTTGTTCCCCATATTAACCTTAAGAGTAATCACATTTAAAAGGAATTAAAGAATTTAGTCAGCTGTTTCAACTAAAACAGTTGGTTCTATGATACGAAAAAGCATTAAAAAGTTACGAGGTGTTAGCCCGTCCTACGTACGGGAATTCAGTAGTCAGTTAAAACAGTGTACAATTCAGATCAGCTAGTTTACACATACAAAGACAAAGTTTCTTGCAGTTTTCATGTGAAAAACCATCTTGTAAACAAATGTTGTGTAACCAAATATGTTTTTATTCCATCATAGGCCTATACGATATGCATTTTAAATACGATAATTTTACAATAAAACAGCAATTCTGCAATTTTTACGATGTTAAAAGCGTTGAAGTGAGATTTGCAGCCGATTCGCACAGACGCACACTGATTATAAGTAGCCTACAGTAGAGAGAGTAACAGTCAATTGAGGAGTGTATAGACTTAGTCAACGATACCACCTTCCATAGCATACCTGCCTCTTCCATAATTATTATCACCACAATACAACTACTATACACAATTTCCAGTAGGTCTGAATAGAAACGACCTAAAATAAAACGATAATATCCAATAAAATTCACAGTACACATAAATCGTCACACCTATCCTTTATATCAATTTCACTGCATTAATAGCTAAATAAATGAGTGTAAACAAAGAAAAGTAAAAACAATAACAGTTTGTTTTGAAACAGCTGTTTGGTTCAAATAACATTCATTTGAAAAAAAGAACTCACGATTACTAAAAGAACTGGTCACATGTAGCAGGAATATAAAAAGTAAACACGCTAGTAAAGCTAATGACGTAATTGTCAATGTTTTTATCCATACCACTATCAGTTCTATCCTTAATAATTACCCACCCTCATTGAATAAGTGTACATCGTAATTTCCCATATTAGTTAATTTAAACTACAATATATTCATAGTTGAAATAAAAGTGATATTTTCACGTTTGGGGGTGCCTATCAGCACCCCCAAACGTAACCACACTGAACACGATTTCATAAAAGGATGGTTTGTCTAATTGCAGTATCCTAGGTCAATGTTGACGTTATGTTCAATCTTTGTATAAAACTCGGCTGAGGTTGTGGTGGTAATTTAAAATCGTGATTCCTGAATATTCTTGATCTTCTTTTTATGACATCAATATTTCCGGGCCTAATCCAAACAAAGTTAAAGCAGACAAACATAAATTGTAAACAAAAAGCTACCATGAAGAATTAAAACATGTAAACATTGTTATTTTTCTATTCTTTCCTCGAAAAGTGGATTAGTAAAATAATTTGCATTTATCCTTTTTTATTAAGACTCGTGTACAGAGCCTCGATTTGTACTGTGGTTTAATTAATTTTGGTCTGAACTATTTTAAACTGTGGTCTAATAAACTCTACTAATCTTACTTATTTCCTATAATCAATGACAAAATAAGAGTAAATAAAATAACCTCATAGTTCCATAGTTTATATTTAACCAGCTGTTAGTTAAAACAAATTATATTGCTCTAAAACAAATTGAAGATTACAAAAAAAATAATTTGAACATCCTAGTATTTTACTATGTATAATTTAATTAATCTGTCATCCTCTTACAGAAGAATTGAACGTATCAATGATTTGCATTACACATAGTATAAATAAGTCAACCCTAAGTATGTCTTTACATTTTTATCCAAATGCTGAATTTGTGACACAAAAGCTGAATGTTTACAGCTGTTATGTTAAACAAATTATTTTATGCCAAAAGCTAGTTTAGAATCTTAGCGTCGGCTGCTAGACTTTTTAAAAATTGAAACTTAATTTCTAAAAAACTGGGACCCTAAACTAAATTTATGGCTTCGACATTCCCTAGTTCTCAAAATTATCTTTCTTTCAACACAAAAATCATGAAAATCCGTCGAGTGGTTGATTCAGAATCGTGAAATAAAAAAACACTGTTTCGTTTTAATTTATAGATAAGATTTACCACCAGGGTGAAGCACTATTTTTTTTTTTTTTTTTGCATTTATGAAAACAGCTACTTTGAACTAAGCAGCAACAAAAAGCTGTTACACGCAATGAGAACTGTCAAAGTAGGATTGTTTACATTTATGTTTTCCTTTTTAATTTCATGAGTTATTTGTGATATTTTGCGAATTAATTTTTTATCTCTATTGTTTAGGTGAAGTGGTAGAACATTATGGCTAAACTGTGGCCTCCCCCATTGCAAACGCAAAGCTCGAGTATAACTGCAATAAGCATTTTATACTTATACTAGCTGTAACCCGCGGGCTTTGCCCCGTTTAACTTTTTAATTTTCAAGATGATCTCGTTCGCATGGCTCAATCACGTCCTGGTTGAAGTTCGTTCGCTACGCTCACTCACCTTTGGGTTGGAGCTCGTTCGCTGCGCTCACTTGCCTTCAGGTTAGCTTGTTCGCTACGCTCACTTGCCTTCAGGTTAGCTCGTTCGCTACGCTAACTCGCCTCCAGGTTGAAGTTCGTTCGCTACGCTCACTCACCTTTTGGTTGCAAATTAGCTGTTGTCATAAATGTAAAAGAAATAATAGTGCTGCACCCTGTTGGTAATCCTTGTAACTTTAATGCTATTGAACATCATAGAACAGAACCAACTTGTTTAATTGAAACAGCTGTTAAGATTCATTAATTCCATTTCTCATAAGGTTAACATGGGAAACTCCAGAGCCACTGGGGCGGAGCCGATTGGACGGATCACGAAATTGATGGTGTTTAAACCTATTCCATGAAATTCTACACGTACGTACCAAGTTTCGTGGCAATCGGTTCAGCGGTGCCTGAGTTTATCACTGCCAAACGAATAGATATATATACAAACATCCTCTTTTATACTTATAGATGCCAACCCCGTACGAAGTGCGGGTACTCTGCTAGTAATCAAATTTATATGTCTTTGAAGACGATAATTTGAGTAATTTCAGTCCGATTTTGATTAAATTTGGCTTGAAGTTATAAGGCGGGGTAAATTTGAATGAGTTTGCGAACCAGCATGATCAGACCATTGGAATGGGTCTTTTAAAGGTAAAAATAGGGTTTAGACCCTGAAAACGTGAATTTTCCCAATTTCTCTTTTATAATTTTGAAGAGTTTTTTTAAACAAGTAATTAACAGCATAAGTGTTATTGTACGGTATTAATTACAGATATAATTCAGAAAATTTAAAATTCCCATGTTATTCTTAGGGAATATTAGTAAACTGCTGTAGTTTGCTTGTACATGGATATATTTTGATAAAACTAAGAAATTGTTTTGATTTTATACTAAGCTATTAATATTTTACCAAATAGCAGCAAACCTGAAGGTACTTCCAGGTACTCATGGAAATCCAATCTGGCAAATTTAAATTCGCTTAGTTTGCAGTTTAGCTGCGACAGGGGTATTTTATTCTTCTAACTTTGAGTAATTAATTTATAACTCAACCTACAATTTTAGTTGCAATTGTATTATTTTCTGTTTATTTTTTATGTATGCTTAGTTCTGGGACTTATAAGTTTAATATAAAATATAATCCAACATGAAAATATTGATAACTTAGACAGGGAGTCCGCAATATAATCATTTTATGTGTTAGTTGCGTTAACGAATTCTTGTATGGCAAGGAATACTTTGGTAAGATGGGGAAGAGGGTACCTGGAGATAGGCGAATGTTCTGTGTGTGAAGGCTAGTCAAAATATATTCCATGCCACCAACTGGCTTGTGCAGTACACTTAGCCCTCTGTTTTGTAGGCCTTTGCAAAACAGTGTAGGCCTATATTGGGGCCACATACAACACCAACTCCCTTATAGTGAAGATGGTTATGGAATAGTTTTTATCACTTAAAGTATTCACTGATGAATTTCACCTTTAAGACTAGAAAAGTTACAAGTTTAATTTTTTTTATTGAAAATAAGAGTAGGCTATGTTTTTGTGATCCTTCTAATAATTAAATTTTGTATTCACAAAATTGCATCATGTGAAATCAATTTGACAGAAATACTTGGAAAACAATCTTTTTACTTTTCAGGAATTCAAAAAAAGGAGCTACATCTTCGTTGGAGGGGAAGATCTGGCGGAATGCAACAACAGTGTCAATGGTGCTCTTATTCATTGTCGCTATTTTCTTCTGCGCTGTTGGCGTAATGTACCTTAATGTCCGCTTTAAGGAAACACCAATAACCACTACAGGTTGGTCTGTGTGGAAAAGATTTTACCTATCAGGTGTAACACTAAAATATAATTTTTTGAGGATATTGTGCTAATCTGAGTAGGAAAGTGTGCAATATGAGACCAGAAACACAAAACCTTACAGTATACTGCAGGGTTTCGTGTGTCAGATTGGACTCTTAACCCACAAAAAGTCATAAAACTTATGTCCTTATGCTTTAAAATTTGTTTTTAGTTGCATCCAAATCCATTAGTGGTTTTGTATATTTTTCATTACATGTAGGCTAAATGAGATTCTAACATTTTCATGGTTTTTCAGAAACAAATTTTCCGGTTTGTAAGCACGGAGAAAAACCTGGGGTAAGTAATAGTTATTTGTGCAACATAGTTATTTTGAGTTTAAAATCAGTACCTAAATTTTATTGAGTTTAAATACACAATATACAATATAAATTGAAAACAATTGCACATCTATCTATCTATCTATATATAAAGCCAAAAGTACCCATGAACTTTTGAGAAAACTTCATGTCACACCCCCCATAAACCATATTCTTAAAATTTTCTTCATGACGAGTGAGAAAAATCCTACTTTCCATGATAACTGTAGACAAAGGTTATTTATTTTTTAGTTATCAAAATTCTTGAACATTGAGATGTGAAATCCTTTCTATACCTCTTACCTAATAATAGTGTTCAACATGTTTTTCTCCTGTTCCATGATACGTGGCATGTTATGTGGCGTTCCAATAAATTAAAAATTCCAGCTCTTTAGTTAAAAGAATTCATCTCGTTTGACAGTTTTTAAAATTTACATGTAGAAAGAAACAATAACCATTGGTCACTTGGAAAAAAATGTTGTTTGAAATATTTTCCCAAATTGACGAGCTTGAAAATTTCTCTTGGTTAGCCTTTTTCTCATTTCATTTAGTGTTCTCATATTATTTCTTTTATATAATAAATTTATCAATGACATCATTAAGAATTCAAGTTTTATCATCATTAGAATGATGCTTTTCTCTTCTTACAGGCAACATGCATTTTAAACAATGAAATCCAGCAAACAATGAAGATGTTCAGAGAAGTTTATGAAGTGTTGAATGAGAAGGCTGTACAGTTTGCCTGTGGGAGTGATTTAATCTCTTCTGCATTATCTGAAGAGCAAATAACACAGCTCCTGGTGGTTAAACTACAAGAGGTATGTAAAAACTATCTCATTTAGCTACCGGTACCTAATATTACTGTGTATATTTGTTTATTTTATCATTCACAACTTCTCCCTCAAACTCCAAAGGTTACATACTAGCCTAAAAAACTGCACCTTTACTTAAAATTACTCAAATTTCATAATCAAATTTGGCACCCCAGGCCTCTTTTTATAAGCTGTAGGCCTAACGTAAAAGACGTCCTAGGAGAGTCTTTGAGATTTTGAGGATTTGTTTTATTGCAAGAAGTCCTATAAGTTTCAAGTAGGCAAAAAATACTTTAAGGAGAGGGTAAGGAGGGGTGTTAAATATTTTAACGAACAAAAGTAAAACCTGATTACAAATTATGGTCTAAGTAATAGAAAAGCAAGAGATTAGCACAATTTTGATCTCCTGCAAATTGATAATCATATGATTAAAACACAAGAGTTAGGGGAAGAACACAAATTTTGGGTTGTATCTGTTAACTCCTTCACTGACAGAAGGTAGAGCGAGAGTACACCCTCCTTCCCCCAGTCACCCCTGGGCTTCTACCTGTACAGCATTAGTGAAGTAATTTGTTAATGTTCTAAAGTGTATGGGATTATGATTGTATGATTGAGAAACATTTCAGCAACATTCGAGTGCTGATTGGAGCCAACCCTCAGTGGGGGGTGGAGGTGAAGGAGACAAACCTAGTGCGGAGTACAAACTCCCCTTCCCCAGTCTCCCTCTAGGCTGCTATCTGTACAGCATTAGTAATGTGATTTGTTGATGTTCTAGAGTGTATGGGATATTGAGAAACATTTCGGCAACATTCGAGTGCTGATTGGAGCCAACCCTCAGTGGGGGGTGGAGGTGAAGGAGACAAACCTAGTGCGAGAGTACAACCTCCCCTCCCCCAGTCTCCCTCTAGGCTGCTATCTGTACAGCATTAGTAATGTGATTTGTTGATGTTCTAGAGTGTATGGCATATTGAGAAACATTTCGGCAACATTCGAGTGCTGATTGGAGCCAACCCTCAGTGGGGGGTGGAGGTGAAGGAGACAAACCTAGTGCGAGAGTACAACCTCCCCTCCCCCAGTCTCCCTCTAGGCTGCTATCTGTACAGTGTGTTCTACGGAATTGTCGGGTCGGCATTACGCTTAGTTGTCGGTTAGTAATATATACTTTGTTTTATCCATTTTTAAATGTTGTAATATTGCACAGCATGTTTTTAATTTGCTTTAATCTGTTGCACTGTAGCTTTAATATCATTGTACTTTTACTTTTGGGAATAAAACAAAATTGTTGGTGTGCGTTAGTTGTTTATTTACACTGCCGTTTGTTTTGAAATTTGGATTTTTTGTGGTGTAAATAAGGGAACTACACAATATTGTTTTTAAATAAGGGAACTACACATCATTTTTGTACACTGGTGGGTGTTTAGTTTGTGTGGTTTGGTGATTTCCGTTGTTCGTTTTTTCTATAAATATAGCAGTTGACCTAATGTCAATTTGCTAACCTATGTGTTTTACTTAAATTATTGAATCTTAAATTACCTGTTTTATTGTTAACAAACTAATAAAATAGGCTTTCTAAAACATTTACAGTATGATTCATTCATCTGATAAATAATATTCTCCTACATATATTATTATCTCGCTAATGAGGTAGGTACTTAAAAATAAATACATATTTTTACATTTAAAGATTTCTTCTTTGATTACAATATATTAGACACTGACACACCAGGGAGTGAATTCCATTGCTAAGATAAATGAAGAATGAATGTTGATGGAATATAATAAAAACCTTGATGCATACTTAAGATCAGCTGGGTCTCCAATGGGATACAATAGTGGTAACTATATGTACAACCCACGAGCTTGTTTGATGGGTCATGAGAAGCGATCGAAGATTAAAGGTTTTTTTTTTATCCGGACTCGTAATTTTCCACTACCCAAACGGGTGGGTAAGCACCCGAATAATAGTGAGTATTAAGGGAATAAGTACGTAAACATATTTTTTAACGATACTACTCAGTTTTTATTAACTGTATATGCATGGATAAAGTTTATTTAATCACTTTGATTCTTTAAACTTGAGAATTTGTGGTATCATTTATAGGTAGGCATAGTTAAATTGTAAAAAAATAACTTCCTGAAACACTTATGGCAGTTTATGAGTTATAGTTTATTTTTATGTTCACAAATAAAGTGTTGGCTAGTATGAAGCTTCTCCATCTCTCGCTATCCTTAGTAAATGCTAGATATTGAATATCTATTGAATTTTGAGCTTGACTCGAAGTAGGGATATTTACAATAGTAGGTCAAAAAACTGCCACAAACTCCTACTTTGCTGAAATTGAAAGAGTATTCATATAGGCTAAAAAACAAATTAACAAGCACATATCACGACATGTTATCTTTCTACTTCAAACTGCAATGAGTATAAAACATTATCTGGATGATAGCTACACATTAAAGGTGCATGGAGAGTTCAAAATGTGAAAAAATTGTTTCAATTCAGTAAGCTAGTTTTGTAAAAATCAAATAGTGTCAAGGACAACGAATTTGATTGAGAGTGCATCCTCAACTCGGTGTATTTGATAAATAAATGCTTACATTAATAGACTACATGTGGAAAATATCAAGCGCCTACATTAGATGTCAATATTCAATCCAGATATAGTCCAATAATAAATTTCAGTCCTCAAAAAGTTTATTAAATAATATTGTTTTGGACTAAATGTTGTGTCTTCAATTACGCTACATCATCTTGACAACTTTCAGTTAGTCAGGGTGTCTACCAACCGGGAAAACCGGGAATTGTACTTAAATTTTTACTGGCCATGAAATGTACGGGAATTGTCCTTAAATGCCAGACAATGTCCTTAAATTTTTAATGGGCCATAATTTTATTGATCGCTAGTTGGTTAGGAGCACATAAAAGGTTTATCAGATGTTTGTTTACATTTTCATAATTTATTACTAGAGTAATTATGCAATAAAAATCCCATTAACAATCTCAAACCCATTAATATTTTATCACGACAATCAAGTGTCAAGTCAAGTACTTCCAAGAACTGTTGACTCAGCAGCTAGCTCATAAAAGTTATATCACTTTTATTCCTTTACAACTTATTTTTTTATTACTAGGGTAATTATTATTAGATCCCAAACCTATTTTATCGTGAAAATAATAGCTTTATAATGGCTGTTAAATTTCACTTCTTACTTGTACTTTCGGCTTGAAGATTCAATTTGCCACGGCCAGTGCCTAGTGCCATAAAACTGTTTATGGTTTCATATTAAACATGTAAATAATCTACAGTCTTATTTTGTAAGTTAACCCCTTTTTTATGGACATTTTATCTTTCAATTGACAAAACCACAAGCATTGTTGTTTGCATTAATGTTTTATCACTATGTAGGCCTGCTTGGTTTCAAATTATGTCATTGCATTTTCTGTATCTTTGTCTTATATTGTTGGCTATTCAGGTTTCAATGTTTTTTGTTTCCCATATATTTATTTATTGAGTTGTATGCAATCAAAATCTTATGAACTAGAATGATGATAGTAACTTTGCTGCTATTATAACCTCATTGTTTGTTACTCAGTTTATATGGGCCCTCCTAAATAATTAGGCTTAGGCCTGGGTATTTTGATTCTTGAAAGAGCTGTAAAATATATTAAGAAAATGTAATTGAGCCTAAGATGAACAACTAATGTTTGCTATGTGTCGATATTAACTTTACAAATGAAAATACAATAATCTTACTCTGTGCTTATTGCTTATTAATAGCCGCTTACCATACCTTGATTTTGTACTAAGAATTGAGTAACAATATGCATTAAAGATTTTTTTTTCAAAAGTAGTCGAGAACCTAACGTTGTGCCAGGGCGAATCATGCCAAATTAATCCGCCTGGATCGGATAAGCTATGTTATGAAGTTTACGTGACGGATGGAGATATTTGTCGATATCGCAGGAGACAATGATTGCGTTTCTCTGTTACACTATAAAAGCTTTAGGCCTACCTAAAGTATAGGTAGGCCTATGTTTGTTTACTTTCAATAAATTTCTATTTTGTAATTTTTAACTCTTATCTATTATTATTTACTTTTCTCTCTGGTACAACTACAGTTAATAACAAGATTAATACAGTTTGACAAATCAGGAAAATTATTCGGTAGGCCTAATGACACCGACAAAGGTTATGGCAAAGTGTCCTTAAATGTACGGGAATTGTCCATGAATTTTTATCCAGAATGTAGTAGACACCCTGGTTAGTTGTCTGTAATTTGTAGACCTTTCACATACTTAGACTTACAATAATAATGAAATTATGGTAATTAATAATTAGTGTTATGCAATGTGTGGATTATGAAATAAAATCAAAGATGTAGGGCGGGTCAGTTTGGGAACTGCTGTACCTGTTGCACAAACTGAGTATCTAATTACTATTTTTAAATCCATAAAATCTTCCTGAGAAATTACAATTTCCTCATTTAGAGGTTTTTCAACATGCTAATCTAGATATCAGTTATCATAGTAAAAAAATTAAACATACATCAGAAAGTTATCATTGATTATGTTATGTTCTTCACTGGCTGAATTAAAAATTAAAGTAGGTATTTGAATAATACATTGCTATTGAAACATTGCATAAGCCATTCATTTGTCTCACATAATGTTTAAATCCAACATCATTATAAGCCTTGTCTCATCGCTGGGATTTATAGTTATTGTGTCCACAACACAAACAAAATTTATTTTCCTGTTCCCAACTAAGGAAATAAGTGGCAAGTCAGAACAACAAGATAAATTGGTTAGTGAAAAATTCAGATACTTTTATAACTATTTCAGAAATATTTGAAAAGAAGGTGGTCACTCCTATCAACACAGTCGTTTAATTCTTGCAACATACCTAGTTTAGATTTCAAACACAAATATGTTGGTGGCACATATATTGCTTTGCCAAATTCAAAAAATCATTATAACAAATATTTGTTATACACCTTTGTACTCCTTTTACCTCAAATATATGTAAACAAAATAATCAGAAGGCCTAACTGTATAAACCAAAATAATTTGTTTTCTATTATATTTTATGGCTGTGACTTATTTATACTGATAATAAAGGTTAGATGTTTAGTGTTTACACTAATCTGCATATTTTATAAAGCCAATTAATAACATTAATAAAATCAATGTATTATTAAATTCAGAGAGTGACAGGGACGTGATTGAGCCATGCGAACGAGATCATCTTGAAAATTAAGAAGTTAAACGGGGCAAAGCCCGCAGGATTATAAATAGTCAAAGGCAAGACAACGTCTGCCGGGTTCAGCTAGTATTTTTATAAATTTGAAAGCAACATTAACCTCAAAGCCTCAAATGATTGATTCTTTCTGAAAAATGTTAAGTGAGATTAAAACACACAATCTAGGAGGTTAAAACCAGAACTAATCAAATAACACCTGTGCCAGTGCAATGGTTTTAGATTATTTGGCCATCTTCAACTACTGTCCCAGTAGAAATCCTGAACATAAAAAATGAATAAATAGAACTAGTAGACATACTGCCAAACATTTTGAAAAAGAATACTGTAATCATTGGACCAGTCTAATGTTTGGCCACACATATCATTGTATCTAACTACAAATCAACTAATACACCAGTAGGCCTAATTCTTATTACATTTATCTTTACTTGCTTTGAATCACTTCTCAATTTGGGTGAAATCTCCCTGTTGCTTATATTTATTTTACACCATACTATGATGTTTTTAGCCGTTTTACAAACATTAATTCAATTGCAAAATATTATTTTTGCTGATTCCTTTAAATATTTCTTCACACAAGTTGTAGTTGTGTTGACTGTTAGTGTGCATTTATTGTATATATATTCTAATTTTGTACAGTGTGGTGAAAAATTGCATTCATACCTCAGGCCAAAAGGGTTTTGCAGCTCCCTATTGTTTTAAGTTCTCGACTTTGTCTCGAACTTAATAAATTATCCCAGGCCGGCAAAACCTCATTTTAGACCCTAGGTACGAAATATACTATTACCTTCCCATTTGGGTTAAATGTATGCTAGTCACTATTAAAACAATTCCTTGAATCGTATTAATTGGCTAACTATAGAAATATTAAAAATCCAGAGACAACGCATTGGTGTAGAAGTGTAATGCTCAGTTGTAGTAATACTTTTAATACTTTATCTTTGAAATGGCGACCATATAAAGGTAGGTATTTTAAGCCAAGTATGAATGGATATGAGTGTAGGATGAGTGGCGCGATCTTGTAGTCTTGTTAGTGACTAAGGCCGACATATTCCTTAGACACAGCTGTTAATTAATAGCCCATACTGCTAATGGCAACTAAGGGACCTACAGTTTATAGTGGAATCCGAACCACATTTTTGCCTTGGTACTGTATTAACAAATTGGTCTAATTATCAGGATAGCACTGCGGATAGTCGTAGTACTCACTAGTGTGGACGTTAATCCACACCAGGGAGTATCGCATCCACAGTGCATGCCTATAAATATCCACAATTCGTGACCTCCTAGTAGCTGGATTACAGGACGACGCCACCGTACGATTTTTAATCTGAGCCTGTAGTTAAATTGAGATAATTAAATTCTCAAATACACAACATAGACAACCCCTTCGATCCAGGCTGACACAAAGCGAGAAGAGCAGGAGTGTATAAGCAAATCGGTGGGAAATGGCAACTCATAACTGTGAAATCACAAGTGTGATATTCCAGTCACCGAAAGCTGTAAATGTTAGCTTATGTGGGTTTTTCTACAGATGAGAACAACATCATTTCTATGTGACAGTGATGATACATAGTCTGGTTCCAAAACTTATAAGACCACTTTGTTCTTGATTAGCCACCTGGTTCCTGTTCGTTTGGATGTTTCTTCTAATTTATACCATCTCGGTAGCTATATAAAAAAGATGAATAAACTGGTCGGAAGAAAAGAAAGGTGCAAACAATAAACGTTATTTTACAAATTTTTTTTAAAATCTGTCACTAACTCCTTGGATGCCTTGGTCACTTATTAGCAATCATTAATAAAGAAATGGGGTTCACACCTAAATATAAACAAATTATTGCTGAGAAGATGATGGAGTAATAGGGGTTAAATTTTGTGTTAAGTAAAAGAATGGTCATTTTGTCTCGTTGAAGAACTATCGGAAGCTCATCAGATTCCATTACATTGAATTTTAGTTGTTGGAGTTTGCTTTATGGAAAACACTTTTTCCACCTGAATTTTCCAAGATGGAATAAAGCTGCAATAGTTATTTGTGTAACTAGTGTGCTAAGTAGCACTTTGCACTCACGTTACAGTACACATTCAATTTGATTTTTCCTACAGTATAAAGCATATTCAGTCTTTCAAGGACTATATAACAACACGTTTTTAGGTTAAGTTAAATCAAAGCGTTGAACTAAATGGGAAACATTGCACTAGCTGATCGTAGTCGTAATATCTAAATCTTGCCAACTTATTTAACTGTTGCCAACTTATTTTCAAGGGTACACGTATTACGTGCCTAATAAAAGCACACTGTTCTTTGGCTGTAATACTGGAGTGCGGAAAAAAATGTGTGCGGCAAAAGTAAGGAAATGGATCAATTAGCTATTTTGTGTGCTATAAACAGTGCAAGGAAGCCCATTTTGTCTGGTAACTGTAAGAAAAATGATACATTATTTAATTTAAGCACCAAAAAGTGACATCAGTTGAATATGTAAATTGATAAAACTTTATACCATAATTGGAAAAAATTACAATGAAATAAACAAGACATTAAAAAACTCAGCTGGGTAAAAAATGACCTGACAACTTGATTTTGTGTTATCTTTAGGTACAGAAAGGCTCAGCGTCAGGATGGGTCTCTGATATAGTTGTGAGAAATGACAATCATTACAGTATACCCAAATCTGTATTAACCTGAGTAAATGCTACATAATTAGCCAAGTCATAATACTTGGATAAGTATAGTCCAAACATAGTCCAATTAACGAAAACCTCAGAAAATCTGATCTAAACATAATTTGATAGACACCTAAAAGTTCAAGGTTTCTACACTTCAAGAACTGGGTGTTGACTTGATTTCAAATGTGAGAAAAAAGTCCATTTGCTCATGTCATCCAAATTATATTTTACAAATTGTTCTGGAACCTTTATACACTGGAAAATACTATTATTTACAGTATCAATCATAAGCATTTTAAAATTGTTATGTTCATCAATCAAGTATTTTTATCTGTGTTATAGTTGTGTTGACAATTTTTACTGGCAACTTAGAATGGTTTTAGTAAGTAACCGGACTACAAGTCAAATTACTTTCTGCATGTTGCAGTGTTGGGTGTTCTATTGGGTATGGTCAAGGCAGGCTACTGGTGGATGGATCGGCAAGAGCGCAATCGCCAACAGGTGTTCAAGATGGTGGAGAACATAATTGAGATACTCAGCACACATCAACAGAGCAGTGCAGGAGACAACTACCTTGCCATCAGCCATGTCAGGGACCAGTTGATCGCTCCACATCAGCGAGACAGTGAGTTTTATAGCTTAGACTAGCTGTGTGCCCGTTCTACGCACGGGGATAGTGTAGTCAGTTGAAGTCACTGGTTAAAATACTACCTCAACCTCACCAATGAACACTTTCTTCTGGTTCACATTTTCATTAACAAAGGTGCTCTTGTCTTTTTCGTGAAACACTGAGAAATAAAGACATTAATGTGTCACCAACAGACATACACACTAAAATACAGAATTTAATTAAGTAAGGAATTTTCTACGGTTTAACCATAGCAAAGTACATATCAAATTAGTAAGCGCCTTCAATGAGTGGAAACCTAATTTTTGTGAGCTTGGCGACAATGATTTAAAAAATGTAAGTTTCCCAGCCCTAAACAACACTGATCAAGGTCCCTTTCCCGGTTATCAAAACTCAAGAACAATTTGATACACAAAGAATCTCCGGTTCCTGGCCTGTTTGATGCCTAGTTATTTAATTTCATTTACGGTTACACATTATTGCACTTGAGATTAATTAAATCCGTAATTCAAGGAAAGACTTTTTTAATCTCACTTGGTTTGGATTATCTTTCAAAACGTGATCGGAAAAATAACCTTGATCCAAACTAACAGCTGTTCGTTATTTCATAGTTGACGTATGTGATAAACATTAGGAAACACTTGGGAAACTGGAGAAAAAACTTACAAAATTGGGGTTTTGAACAACACAATAAAACACTAAAACAATAAGACTATTAATATAAATATTTAGGAGTCGATTTGCTGCACACAAAAATCCAACAAAGTCTTTTAATAATATAGATAGCTGTAAGCTGTAAGTTGATTGTAGCAAATCATACATAAACTCTTTCATTTGTTAACTTCAAGAACCAGAAACTTTATCATTTAACCTATTGTAAAAAAAGAGTGGTTTGATATACTTCATGATTGGTGTGCTTTGGAGTAGTTGATGTTGACCATTTAATTTCTTTTCCTATTTTGTGTTAAATTTGACAGTGTGCTCCTTATTCTTTTGTTATAATACTGTTAGACGAACAATGGTCTATAAACAGTTTTACCTGTTAGGTTAAAACAGTTTTAAAGTTTGTGTGCCAATATACTAAATTTTCTTCTTGTTTGACCGTTGTTTGTCTGCACAGAGATGGCCGCTGTGTGGGACGCTGCTGTCTCTTATCTGGAGGAGAATGACTCCCGAGTACGGACGGAGGTACAGCAGGTGGCGGGAGAAGAGTTTCGTGTGTGGCGGTGGCTCCCTGGCCCCAAACCCAACGGGTATGGAATCATCTTATACTTGGGTTAACTCCAACATTTGGCTAGTTTGACTATTCATCAAGTTCAAGTTCAAATATCTCTTATACCTTAATTCATGTTAAAACTATTCATGCCTCCATCTATTCCCTAGTAGTAAAAAATTAAGAGCTCAACCTTTTTGAAGAATCTTGACTTTTTTACCAGGGAAAAGACACTGTCATAATTATTTTGGTTAAATTTATTCAAAATAACTAGAGTTAGTTACTAATAGCATTGACTATACACGTCAATGCTAATAGTGCCAATCTAATCAGACCAAAAGAGGATGTCACTCTCTAACATGTAAAAAAAAAATAGTTGAGTTACAACTTGCTTTTGACTAGGAAATATTGTTGTAGTTGGTTTTATTTTTCCCAACTGATTACCACTGTTAAATTCAGTAAAATTTTGTTTTTAGGATGTTGGATCATTTGGATTAACCCAAATAAGAAGAAAAAAGTCCCTGGAAGAGATTATTTGGTGTCAGAGAAAGAACAAATATTTATTTTTATTTCATTTATGTTAATTTTTGTTGTATTTCATTGATTTGTAATGACTAAAAATAATATTAATTACAAAATCATATCGGTTTACTTATTTAGTAAATATAAGAAATATATAGTAGAACTCCTCATATCCGAACAACAGGACCAAGCCATGGTCGAATATTGGGAGGAGCATAACTTGCAATCTCCTTGAAATAGGTAATTGTCTCCCGCGAGCGGGGCAACATACTTGAGCATGTCCTGCAGTCTTGGTGACACTGGTAATTGTCTCCCCCAACCGCAGGAACAACCGTAAGCACATGTTACGGTCTCTGTGACAGTGGTGATCGGCATATCATTGACAAAGTCTAAATACTGTCTTAGTACAATTGAGACAAAGTAAAGAAAAATCTAAATACTTAAAAAAATCCCAAATCTTACTTATTTACTGTAGAACTTCTGTAACAAAACTCGCTGGGATTATTGAACAAGACTTGCTATCAAGTTTGAATTCTTATCGATATTGAGATTTGCAATCAAATTTGGGTTTGGGCCCAAATAAATTCAATGGAATTTGAAAAAATCACTCATCAGGGGTTGACTTGTTATTGTTGCTCTTTTTATCGAGGTTCCACGGTATTATCCACTTTAATATACAACTGCACTTCCAGCAGAGATATGATTTCCATTCCATCGCAACCTTATAACCTTATTTTATTTATTTATCGCAACCTTCTTTTTTTTTTGAAGCCTCAAAGTAATGCACAATAAGATACGGTTCACATACTTGGACTCAACTTAGAGGCCCATCAATTGATCTATCCTCAAAGTATAATGATTTCAAGTTTTTTTTTATGAAAACAATTATTGCCATTGACTTTGTATGCTGAAACCTAATAATAGTCAAAGCTAATATACCTACTTTTAATTTCAACAGTTTAATATTTCTGGAAGCATTTTTGTCTTTAGTCGGAATGAAAAACAGATTTAATTCAATTGTGTAGTATCTTTCTCTTCCTGATGACTGTTGAATTTTCAGTAAACGCAAGGTCTGGCAAGGACAAGCGTTTGAGACAATGGAAGGAAGTGTAAACTCTCTACCTATCAGCCCGACTCCGTGTCTCAAGATCCGTCATATGTTTGACACTGATGTGTGAGTAATATTATAAATAGTACTTTTATGTGTTGATGGTTTTGTGAATGTTCAGATTTTTGTCCTTCTATCTGAAAGCTAAAACCACTCGGACCAAATCACCTGAAATTTTGCTCAAGATAATCTACGTATCCAGGAATACTATAGACATATTCTTGATTCAATACCGACATAGGGATATACCCCCTTTACTTATAAAAAAATTATTATGATAGGTTTATCGGAAATATTTTTTGCTCTCTATGATCACAATAAATTTCAATGTTCACATTTCTCAAATGTACATAATATGTAGATTTAGCTGACCCTAACAAAGGACTGCAATAATCCTTAACATGGTTTTGGTTAATGTAGATACCATTTCATTGCATGAAACCTGATCCTTTATAACTTATTTATCAAAAACTGCCAGATTTCTTAAAATCTGTGTTTTAAATTTACAGTTTAGCTTGCCATAATAAAAATAGCCTCTCCAGGTTGTACTATAAAATATTAAATGCGACATCATCTTTGTTGTATAGCTAATAAATAATGTTTTACAGAGAGGTAGGAGAAGACTGGATGACCCGTGTACAAGACGCCATATTAGAGAAGTGTGAGGGAGTGAATGTGCTGCACATCGCTGTAGACAAGAATTCCAACGAAGGATGTGTGTATGTCAAGTGTGCCTCTCCTCAGGAGGCTGGCCGCGCCTACAGAGCCCTCCACGGATCCTGGTTTGATAGTGAGTAGGCCTATAGCTAGAGATAAAGATAGCACGTCATAAAATGCAGAACAATTTTATAGAGATGGACGGGTCCCGAAATTTCGGGAATTTTTCGGGAAAAAAATATTCCCGATTATCGGGACGGGATTACATTTGACTCGGGAATTTTTCGGGACGGGATTTGGTCCGATCGTCGGCGATTTTTCCGCTTCGCGAGTGCCGATAACGCCGTTATTGCGAGCGATAGGTCCGCGAACGCAGGAGACGAAGTCATACCGACGATCGCGCCGTGACCGCGGAGTCCTACCGACGATCGCGCCGTGACCGCGAGTCATACTGACGATCGCGCCTTGACCGCGAGTCATGACGACGATCGCGCCGTGACCACGGAGTCATGCTGACGATCGAGCCGTGATCGCGAGTCATACCGACGATCGCGCCGTGACCGCAAGTCATACCGACGATCATGCCGTGACCGCGAGTCATGACGACGATCGCGCCGTGACCGCGGAGTCATGCTGACGATCGAGCCGTGATCGCGAGTCATACCGACGATCGCGCCGTGACCGCGAGTCATACCGACGATAACCCCGTGACCGCGAGTCATACTGACGATCGCGCCTTGACCGCGAGTCATGACGACGATCGCGCCGTGACCACGGAGTCATGCTGACGATCGAGCCGTGATCGCGAGTCATACCGACGATCGCGCCGTGACCGCAAGTCATACCGACGATCATGCCGTGACCGCGAGTCATGACGACGATCGCGCCGTGACCGCGGAGTCATGCTGACGATCGAGCCGTGATCGCGAGTCATACCGACGATCGCGCCGTGACCGCGAGTCATACCGACGATAACCCCGTGACCGCGGAGTCATACCGACGATCGCGCCGTGACCGCGAGTCAAACCGACGATCGCGCCGTGACCACGGAGTCCTACCGATGTTCGCGCCGTGGCCGCGAGTCATGACGACGATCGTGTCGTGACCGCGAGTCATACCGACGATCGCGCCGTGATCGCGAATCATGACGACGATCTCGCCGTAACCGTGAGTCATACATACGATCACCCCGTGACCCGCGAGTCACAAGTTACTATAGGTCTCGCCACCCTAAGTTGAGGCAGCCCAGACGGACGGGCAGGGTCATTATCGGCCGGTCCCACCCGACCCTTAATAATCCGATTAGTGACACTTCCGTGAACGCTCTAGTTCCATAATTGTCATTAACAAAGTTAAAAACCGATGTATAAATTTAGTCTTTTACATTAATAACGTCGATTACCAAACATTTCCGTTTTTGTCCCATCAAAATCGGACAATGTTTACGGTTTGTGAGCTATAAACAAAAAACAAAGTAGTGTAGATCCCAAAATCCAAAAACCGTAAACATTGTCCAATTTTGATGGGACAAAAACGGAAATGTTTGTTAAATCGACGTTATAAATGTAAAAGACTAAATTTATACATCGGTTTTTAACTTTGTTAATGAAAACTATGGAACTAGAGCGTTCACGGAAGTGTCACTAATCGGATTATAATGGGTCGGGCGGGACCGGCCGATAATGACCCTGCCCGTCCGTCTGGGCTGCCTCAACTTAGGGTGGCGAGACCTATATAGGTACCTGTAAATTGTTACCCATTTTTTGGTTTTTATAGATCAGTGCCACAAATGGTAAAAATTGATTTTGTATGTCTTTTTTTGGTAACTGCAATACAGTACTTTCTTTTTATGCACAGAAAAAAATCCCGTCCCGTCCCGTCCCGAAAATCGGGAAGGAAATAAAAATCCCGTCCCGTCCCGTCCCGAACTAAAAATTCAATCCCGTCCATCCCTACAATTTTATCAACCAACTGGTCTAAAGATTCTACTGAATCCGAGGCTTAGCTCTTAACATTTAGGATTGTTGTCTTAACTTATTGAACAAACCTAACTAACATCTGGTTCAATCCTCGTAATAGTCTGCTTTTTGATAGTTTGAAACTGCACCTAGCATTCTTGATCATAAGGCTTTTTCATGGAGACCATAGGTCCCGGTAAAAAAAAACATACGGTCTTATTCATACAAAGTAAACACAATAAATCTCCCTTCATTCTACACTCATCCTTCATGTTTACTCAGGTACTCGTGTTAGGCATTTTATCTTTCACAGAGCGGTTTAAGAATCTGCATCTCAACAAACTTCTTGGATGTGTCAAACAAACTAAAAGTAAACTAATCAAATTTGGACCAAAACTGATGGTATCCATGTTCTGTACTCAGACATTGAGTTCCTCCTGGGGAAACTTAATTCATAGCATATCAGAATTTCAAGTTAGGCAATGATTTCATCTTCATGCTGTGTTGTTTATTGTGGATCACATTGGCAAATATTGTAAAAATGTTAAAATGCATGTTACTACCAAGTAATTATTCTGCTCATATATTGGACTACGTGTTTCGATGTATAAACATCCATCATCAGGTCACAACTTGAAGAAATTTATACCATTGTTGAGTTGATCGTGTCAACGTTTACAATAAGCATGTATAACATTTCTTCAAGCTGTGACCTGATGATGATGTATATACATTGAAACGCGTAGTCCAATTTAGGAGCAGAAGAATTTTAACCTTTTCATAATACTTGTTTTACTTGAATTCCTAATCATTGACAGTTTGAAATTGTACGTTTCATTGTGTAAGTTGACAACATTTTAAATTTGTTGACTGTTTCACTTTTTTCACTGACATTTTTGTAATGCAATCTTTTTTGTCTATAACAAAAAATTAATGATTATTGTTTGTTAGCTTAGCTGGTAATGTAACTGGTCAACCATCTGAGTTTGTTTCTGTATTTTAGTTAAGTGTAAACAATTGAAAATATGTCAGTAAAAACTATATGAGGAATGGTTTTTTTTTCAGGCAAGTTAGTGACAGTGAAATACCTTAGACTGGAAAGATACCACGAGAGATTCCCTGAAGCTACTCGAGCTTCTAGACCTTTGCGACCCTCTAACGACCGAAAACTCTCACTTCAGTAAGTTAATGCTAAGCTTTGGTAATTAAATAAGCGTCTTAACCCGTAATTTCTCCTAAATGTTCCTACCGATGTCTGGGAGAAACTCCTTTCATCGTTCTAATGTTAAATGAAGATGGGAGACCTAAACCTAGATTGTACTAGGCCTATTCACTCTTCTGCTGTACCACTCCTTGCTTTGATGCATATGCTCCACGCACAGTGCTGACACACTTGTTGACAGGCAAATTCAAGATTAAAAGAGGCCGCCAACCTCTAATAGTTGAATAGTTCTCCTAAAACTCTTTTTGTTCTTTCAATTTGGTAGATTCTTAAAATTGCATAGATTATTGCCTGTCTTATTAATTATAAAGGAATTGATATACAAACAGGAATGGTTTGTTATTTTATAAAAAACTTCTCCGTCTTAATAACTTCAGTAGATCTCCACCTAAACATCAGAACGTTTGTTTTATGTGGATCATCTGCATTACAATCGTCCAGATCATCTCAAGGTTTTTAAAATATTAATAGAATTGGCCAAAAATTAGGTCATTGAAGTTTTTTTCATGTCTCAAAAATTAATAAGCCCCAATCGTGTAATGAGTCATATCAATCTGCAGGCGTTGAGTTATCTGCCTAGTGGCTATGTCTTCTGCCATCTAAAATCTATTTTTCTAGAAAAATCCAACTATCTAGATTTGTTTTTTTCTGAATGGGGTCCAGTCCTAATTGATCCAGATAATTGGAATTCTACTGTAGTACCCTCAGCCCATGTTTTCAACATGGTACGATCTTAAAGTTATAAAAATAAATTGTTAGACCTACAACAGGGGTACAGGGAGGGGTGTTGGGTGTATTTCCCATAATTATTATAGAAATTTGCTTAGTTTCTATAATCAATAGCATCATTGTAGTATTAAGCATTTACATTAATTAGAGCTCGCATAAGAGTACAGCTCGCATTCCTCCTGTGCGTTAACCACAAATCCACTTGCAAGCTAGTAGTGGAATGCGAGCACGAATGACATTTTGTCGTTCGAGTTACTTTCGAACATGTCAGGAAATGATCGCACGCTCGTGTAACCGTAGGTCCCCCAAGTAGGGTATCATAGACATACGATTTCTTTGTGAAGCCCAGTTTGTGAAAACGTAGGGATGTTTGTTTATAGATTTTGTGTTTACTGTTCAGTGATGGCTAAGTTTAGTGATTATGTATGTAAAATTTATTTTTTTTAACGGTATCGTGAATCGATAAATTTTGGTATTGACACATCACCAATTTATCAAATATTTTTAAAACTTCTGCTACATTATATATTATTTTAATTTGAATGTGTTTTGAATAGGCTCACTCATTATACATACTTTTTTTTGTCCTAGGACGCTAGGCACGAGTCCGGAATTGTTTTTCACATTACTTCAGGCTAGACCTAGGGGTTACGGCATTATCACTTAGATAAAATCCATTGGTGATTTGGCGGGATTTGAACACGGGACCATAGGAACCGGAGTCCCACGCTCTAACCACTAGACCAGCTCGCTCCACCATTATACATACTAAACATAAACATATTAATACAAAGTGATCACATAAGACCAATGTAATCGCTGATTATGAATACTTAACTTTCACCTTACAACTACATGACTCGTGACTGCTATTATTATTCCAGTAACAAAAAAAAAATGTAAACGCTGCTGGAATTTGATCCGTCATTCGATACTGGAATAGTAACTCTCTCGCTATTGGTTAAACGCGCCTTTACCACACAGGTTTACAAAAAGTTCTATTTGTATTTATTTACCCATGTGAGAATTGAATTATTTTACACATATATATTCATATTAATTTATGTAGATTAATTCTAAAATTGTGTTCTGTCTGTAATTATTTACTTATTTTCAGGTGATGTAGGATGTTCGGTGGCTTACAAGACAAGTGCACTTACGCTACCCGTCGTTATCGTTACAATCAAAGTCTGACGGATGGGAGGAGAGATATTGTAACTAATGTTCTTTAATTTTAACCACAAACTTAACTAAATGTACATTTGTTATGAACAATGAATGACTTAAGCTTCATATTTTATTGGGTAACATAAATTTTAGGATAGACATAATGTTATTTTAATATATTGAATTTGAAATTGTAGTAGTGAAATGTTTTTAATGAGACAATACTGTTAGTAGAACGTTTAACTTGCTTTGTTCTTCCAATGTTAAACCATAAAGTGTTTCTTATTGTAACTTCTTGTAAATATTGTTGGAGTTGTTTCTAATTTATTCCACATCTTTTTAGTTGTAATTCTAAAAATTGATGTTATTTTTGTAATGAGTTTTTTTTTGTAAAAGTTGTAGTTCTTACTAATGTGTTTGTTACTTTTCTAATAAGACTAGACTGTAGTTGTTGAACCGTCATTTATTTTTGTGAACTTTTAAATTATTAAAACATTTTGAATTCAAATGAGTACTGATTAATTTAAACGTTTTAACGAATTTCTCATATTGGGAACACGCTAATAACAGGCTTATGGTATGACCTAGACCCGAGAACTATTTTGTCCCCAGCAGGGGGGTTTGATGTCGCAAGTTGCGGCATCAGATTTTTTGGGGGGATTCAAGTGGCAAGGGGTTGGTGAGAAGCACATACAAGATTTATCAGATAATTTTTATGACTGCCTTAATTTATTACTGGGGTAATTAGCCCAATGGTCGGTGGCTCAGTCAGTAGCGTCGCAGACTTTGGGCCCAAGGCAGCGATGTCGTGGGTTCGGATCCTGGTCACTGCCACTAAAATTTATCAGTACAGTTCACCTTTGTACTGTACCGGCTCACTCCTTGCTTTGCTGTAAACGCTCCACGCACGGGCACTTAGTCTATGTGGACGGGCAAATGCAAGGTTAAAAGAGGCCGCCAACCTCTTAAAAAAAAAAATTATGCAATCGAAATCCCATTTGACATTTTATCTTAATAAATAAATCATTTTATAATGGCTATAAAATATACACTGTAATCCAGCTACTTGGAGGTCACGGATTGTGGATATTTATAGGCAAGCACTGTGGATGGGATACTCCCTGGTGTGGATTAACGTCCGCACTAGTGAGTACTACTACTATCCGCAGTACTATCCTGATAATTAGACCAATTCGTATATACCAAGGAAAAAATGTGGTTCGGATTCCACTATAAACTGTAGGTCCCTTAGTTGCCATTAGCTGTTTGGGCTATTAATTAACAGCTGTGTCTAAGGGATGTCGGCCTAAGTCACTAACAAGACTACAAGATCGCGCCACTCATCCTACACTCATCTCCATTCATACTTGGCTTAAAATACCTACATAGTATGGTCGCCATTTCATAAGAAAGTATAAAGAAAGTACAGCTAATAGTTTATTTATTTGTATTTACACTTTCTGACTCCTATCATGTTTGACAATGAGAACAACTCCCTGCCAACTCCTGTCAAAGGATTATGGTTTGTTTATTAAATTTTATCTGCAGTTTGAGTTTGTTTTTACCGTTCATTATAAAATCATTCTAAAATAATCTCATTGACTTATACTGTAGGTTGTTTAGGTTTGTTGATTATGATATACAGGGTGGTAAAAAAGTCCCAGGACAGTTAAACATTTTAAAAGATAATGTAGATAGAGCTACAATACTTGGTACAAAGTTACAGGGCATAAAACTCTATTTAACACATATTCAGTGATCCAATAACTCTTCAGGGGGACGGCCCATAAGGAGTCGGAAGAAAATCTTAAACAGAAGCATAGATCAATATGCACATAAAATTAAAGGTCTTTTTAAGTAGAATACAATGCCGCAAATTGCACTTCAAAAGGTTGATCCTGCGCAAAATGGTAGATGTTCAAAGATTTCTTGAATCCGCCATTTTGAATCTTTGAACGACTGCCATTTTTTACTCAGGCATTCTTTTGAGCTTGAATTTACGGCATCGTAATCTACTAGTGAAGACCTTTAATTTGATGTGCATATCGACCTATGCTTACGTTAAAAATTTTCTTCCGATTCCTAGGGCTGTGCCCCCTGAGGAGTAAGCGTATAATAGCAATGCAAATTAAATGAATCTTTGAACAACTGTCATTTTGCGCAGGATCAACCTTTTGAAGCGCGGTTTGCGGCATTGTATTCTACTAAAAAAGACCTTTAATTCGATGTGCATATTGACCTATGCTTCTGTTTAAGATTTTCTTCCGACTCCTTGTGGGCCGTCCCCCTAAAGAGTTATTGGATCACTGAATATGTGTTAAATAGAGTTTTATGCCCTGTAACTTTGTACCAAGTATTGTAGCTCTATCTACATTATCTTTTAAAATATTTAACTGTCCTGGGACTTTTTTACCACCCTGTATACTTGATTCATAGAAACCGGTATTATGATAATCATTTTTGCGAGTATATGGGCTCTCCTAAATAATTATGCCTAGGTCATTTGGTTCTTTGGAACAAATTGTCATACTGTGACAATTTAATTAAGCTGTTTAGTGTTTAATAGGCTATGTGTTGTGTTAGTTTTGAGAATGAAAAAATCCATTCTGGGTTAATAAAATTGTATTTGCCTTATTGTATTTTCTTAATTTCAGAAAGAGCTTCAAACAAATGTTATTAATCTTTAAAAAACTCAAGTGTATTAAGGGGCAATTTAGGTAAATATCTCAAACTTTACGTACTCCAAATTGTAAATTTTGACGTAAATTATACTTTCCCCACAAATTATATGGTGAAAGAATTTTTTATGTAAACATTTTCCAGTTTGAGTTTTGGGTGGATATATCCGTTTTGATCCCCCTGATCCCAAAAAAAGTGTTTTCGAAGTGATGTCTGTTTGCATGTGGGGATGTGCACACTGCACACAGCTACAGACCACATCTGTGATCTGATTTTGATGAAATTTGGTGTTTAGGTTGGGTACTAAACTAATCCATAGTCTCTACTGGTGTTTTTTTCATTTGGATTTTTAATTGTGATTTTCTATAAGAATATATAATATAATATATAATAAGGCCTGAACAATTTTGATTAAAATGTTATATGTTATACTCCTTTTGACTCTGAACACGGTGGTATAACCGTTATTGCTGTAAAAAGTACAGTTCAAAAGTTATTGCAACTTTTGAGATTTTCTCGTTTAAAAACCTATATTAACCCATTGCAGACTTGGTTTTGAGTTCATAGCCTTTAGAATCCATTAAAAAATGGCTAATTTGCAGTGTTTAAGTAAAAAATTGGCTTTTAACTTAAATAGATAAAAGTTGTATGTAAATTAATCCAAATTAAATTTCCTATTGTAATAAACATGTTTCAAGTAAAAATAATAATAATAAATTTTAAAAATCTTTGAAAAAGAAAAAAATAAATATATTTTACTAAAACAACAGTTTATTCTTAAATGATATTTTTTTATTTAAACTATAACTCTTTAAAAACATTTCAATATCCTACATAAAACTTAGTAACTAAGCAACAATTAATTATTTTAAAAATCAATAATAATTATATATGTCATCATTGCTTGAACACATTATCTTGGCACAGGTTGTCAATGGTCGAGTTTGATCAAGTTGTTTCAAAATGGCGGCCGTTAATAGCTAAAATAATAAAAATGTTTCAGTGTTTTTTGTTCTCAATTCCCTCCAGAGATCAGCGGTAACCTATTCTTTTTCCTTGCAATCACAAGTTTTGATGCCGTCCCTTCATTTAATAGAAAATACCCCCATCACAGCAAACCTGCAGATTAAGTGAGTTTCCATTTCCCTGATTTGATTTTCAATTAAATCAATTATAATAACATTAGGTTTCATGAGTACCTAGGTTTGCTGCTACAGGGAGAGTAATAAAAGCGAGTATTTATTAATATATTAAAAGCTTAGTTTCAAATAAGTAATTTGCCAAGTTTCATTAAAATAATATCATAAACAAGCAAACTACAACAGTTTATGTACTCTACGTAATAATAACATGGAAATTTAAAATTTACAATGTTTGGAATTTTCTTTGTAGCCAATTGCACTAAATTATTTGTTTGATTAAGCTCTTCAAAATAGTTTATAGATAAATTAGGGAATTTCACGTTCTGAGGGTCAAACATTTTTACCCCTTAAATCACTCCAAAAACCCTGTTCCCATGGTTCGACCACGCTGGTTTGCCAACTTGTTTGAAGAAACGTAGGTTTACATGTTTTCACCAAATTTCATTAAAATCTGATAATTTTTGCTAACGGACACACATATACAGTGTTCAAAAAAGGTAGGGACACTATTTACGAAATGATTCATTGGATCAAAATAAAAATAAAATAAGGAACACATTTTTTTACAAAATCGCTTTGTTACCAGATCCACCATTTTGTATGTTTTTCATTAACATTTTATCCTTTGATAATTTTGACTGAACTTTTATGAAACTTGGCATTTATGTAAAGGTAGAAGATACCAATTAATTTTTTTATGCAAACCAGCATGACCGGATTATGGGAACTTATGGGAATTTATGGGGGGTTTTATAGGGTGAAAATTGGTTTTTCCCATTTTAGACCCAAAAAACATAAGATTTAGCAATTTCTTTCCAATCCATAAGGTGGAGCTTAAAAAAAACAAACAATTTAGTATATTGAAGTTTCATTATATGGCTAATGGTTATGGAGAAAATTCCAAAAAATTGTAAATTAATTTTTGCTAACGGACACACATATACAGTGTTCAAAAAAGGTAGGGACACTATTTACGAAATGATTCATTGGATCAAAATAAAAATAAAATAAGGAACACATTTTTTTACAAAATCGCTTTGTTACCAGATCCACCATTTTGTATGTTTTTCATTAACATTTTATCCTTTGATAATTTTGACTGAACTTTTATGAAACTTGGCATTTATGTAAAGGTAGAAGATACCAATTAATTTTTTTATGCAAACCAGCATGACCGGATTATGGGAACTTATGGGAATTTATGGGGGGTTTTATAGGGTGAAAATTGGTTTTTCCCATTTTAGACCCAAAAAACATAAGATTTAGCAATTTCTTTCCAATCCATAAGGTGGAGCTTAAAAAAAACAAACAATTTAGTATATTGAAGTTTCATTATATGGCTAATGGTTATGGAGAAAATTCCAAAAAATTGTAAATTAAAAATTCCCATGTTATTCTTATGGAGAATATGTATACAGTACTGTTATTTTGCTTGTTTATGAACATATTTTAATCAAATTTGGAAAATGTTTAATTAAACTAATTAATTTCATACTAAACTATTACATTTCACAAAAACACGTTTTTACCCTCTCTGTTGCAGCAAACCTAAGTACTCGTTAAACCAATGATATTTAAATGGGAAATAAACATGATATTTTTAAGGAGATATTTTAGAGTAAATCCACTCAGGCAAATGGAAATTCACTTAGTCTGCAGGTTTGCTGGCGGGGGGGGGGGGGGGTTTATAAGGTAATTGGTTACGGAGAAAATTCCAAACATTGTACATAAATTTAAAATTCCCATGTTATATCACGGAGAATACTTTATATATTATATATATATAATAGAGAATATTATATATATTGATATAAACTCACTTTATTACCCTCCCTGTAGCAGCAAACCTAGGAATGTACTCATGAAACTTAATGTTATTGAAATTGATTTAATTGAAAATGAAATCAGGGTAATGGAAACTCACTTAGTCTGCAGGTTTGCTGTGGTGGGGATATTTTGCCTATTCTATGCACTAAGAGATTCTATGACATGCAGAGACGGCATCACAACCTGTGATTGCAAGGAAATTGAATAGGTTGTTGCAGATCTCTGGAGGGAGTTGAGAACACAAAACACTGAAACATTTTTATTATTTGAGTTATTAACGGCCGCCATTTTGAAACGACTTGATCAAACTCGACCATTGACAACCTGTGCCAAGATAATGGGTTCAAGCACTTGTGTGCCGAATTTAATAAAAATCGGTTCAGGCATTCGATCATTATAGCCAATTCATGGCGACCCAGCATCCATTTTGATGACGTCACTACGGACGACCGAGGTCCTTAAAAATTTGGGGTCGGTCAAAAACTTGAATACTATAACCACCTAAAATTGCATCCTCCCCGCCAGAACTGAAATATTTTCCTGCTACCCAAACCGACTATTAGGAAAGTCTGCTTGATAGACCCCAAGCAGTGAAGACACCCAACCCAACCCTGACCTTCCTCAAAATCCCATCTTTATTCCATTAGAAATTTCCCAATCTTTTTGAAAAACAAATTACAAAATAATAATAACCATGTGAAAGTAACTATGTTAACAAAATAATTGACAATTAACCAAGTAACTAACAAACTGTTTCAAAAACATTACTAACCTGAAGGAAGCAACAAAAATTAAAAAGTTATATTTAAAATATTGAACCACGTGGCTGCATAGTTTTAACCGAGAAAAGCCGGCCATTGTTGGCAAAATAGAAAAAAAATTGTGAGTTGAGCCGAGCCCCGAGCCTTGATTTTTGAGGGTTGAGGTTATGTTTACTTTTTGTTGGAAGTGGAGGAACAGGAGGTTAAAAAACTAGGCAACTACGTTTAGATATCATCTATGTTCTGTGTAGGTACACTTTTTGTAACTTGTTAGACCAATAAAATACGATATCTTACGAAAAAGTGATTCGTGAACGCTTAATTGCTCCGAGAATGGATGTTGATTTATTGAGGCCCGGTACAGTACCTATTTCAAAAGATACGACTTTGTGGTTTGAATTTTTGTTAGACCCTAATGTTTTAGACGCACATCTAAACAAACAAAAACCAGGTAAGTCAAGTTTACTCTTCAGATTTTTCAGTAAGTTAGGAACGTAATTAAAATTAACATGTAGTGTCCTAGAAATTAAGTTTAGCCATAAAGAAGGAATAGGCTTTGTAGGCTTCTTTTTTTTGGAGTGGGAATTTTTCTGAGGATTTTTTTTTAACACATTTGATAAATAAAGCCGCGTTTACAGCGGAGTTTGAAACATGAGCTGCAAATAGAAATTGCAAACATTAATTTCTAAAAACGCGCATTTTTTTACAAAACATTTCGCTGCAGTTTTTCAGTGTTTGCAACAGAAATTGTTGTTTCCACTTGAAGTTCGGTAAAGATCAAAGGGAGTTGCAAACTCTTTGTTTGCAATACTAGGCTAGGCTACAGTAGTTTCGGTCACTATGAGCCGTTGAAACACGAAACAGAAACATTTCTCCGCCATACCCTACGCTGCCACCTCTACTCTCACTTGATCACTCGCACCACCATGTGTCTTGACTCAGTGATATTAACCCTGTTTGTACTGCTACTAGCATAGATAAAAGGAGTAGACACTACTCCATTTATGTTCACTTCTTTTATCTATGCTACTAGCTACCTCGTGTTTGTTGTGACTTATCTCGTGTCGTGCGTGTTGTGAGTGATGGAAAATCTACTGAGTGAGATGGAGTGGGGAGATGACAATAATTTTCATAGCTTGTACAGAGAACAGCAAGTGCTGTGAAATCAAACAATTAATTTCTAACTATTAAAACAAAAACAAAAAAACTATGCGTGGAATGACATTTCACGGGAAATGAACTTAAGCAAGGCAGAGGTCCAAAATAAGATGAGGAACCTCATAATTAAATTTAACAGAGAATCTGTTAACACGCCGCCACGGCTAAAATGACATCCTCGACACTTGACATCCTTGGAAGGACTGATCCGAGGAACCAGAATGAGGCGAGTCATAATCAAGGTCGAAAGTATTTCAAACATTTTCATGAAACATGGAAACAAGACCATGAAATAAATACCCCCGCCGCAGCAAACTTGCCGACTAAGCGAATTTCCATTGTCTTAATTGATTTTCAATTAAATATATTTTAATAACATTAGGTTTAAGGAGTACCTAGGTTTGCTGCTACAAGGAAACTAATGAAGTGTGTTTTTTGTAAAATATTGATAGCTTAGTACAAAATAAATAAATTTGATCAAAATACAAAAATATATCCATAAACAAGCAAACTACAACATTTGACAATATTCTCCATAAGAATAACATGGGAATTTTAAATTTACAATTTTTTAAATTTTCTCCGTTACTATTAACCGAACAAAAATACTTTTATACTAAATTAATTGTTTTTTAAAGCTCTTTAAAAAAGTCTATAAAGAGAAATTGGGAAATTTTGTGTTTTGAGGGTCAAAAGTGAGAAAAACCAATTTTTACCCCATAAAACCCCCCGTAAAGCCCGTTCCCATGGTCCGATCATGCTGGTTTGCGGACTCATTCAAGTTTATCCCGCTTTACTAAACCAAATTTCATCAAAATCGGACAAAAATTACTCAAGTTATCGCGTTCACGGACGTGTATATATATATAAGTCTATATATATATATATATATATATACATATATAAAAATTTGAACGAATGGTATTTTTGGCCTCTGGGGACATCAAAATGAAAAAGTAAACCGGTCCCGCGTCTAGGCCTTACCGTGCCACCTACGGTAATAGCTACTTCCCTATTAGTCCAGTGAATAGAGGTATGTTGACTTACAAACGGTCCGGTAAGTCTAAATTTTTTATATGTTGTCTAGGATGGTAAGTAGGTGTTAAAACCGCAAAATGTACAATTCTACCCCCTCCGCGCCCGCCGCCATATTGAAAAATCTAAAAAATCGGTACTTTCTAGAGATTTTCGCCTATATCTCCGTTTTGGTGCGTTTTAGCGAAAAATATGTAATTGCAATGTTGTAGACAATTAAATTTCCTATAATATAACCTATAACAATTTGGTTCTAAGACTTATGGATACGAAAATATTCAAATTATTTTACAATAAAACGTAATTTTTTTTGTTATTTTGCCAAATCTCGTTCTTTAGATCGCTGTAATTCAGTTATGAAATATTCTAGGATAACAAGTATCCCAATCACATGTATAGAGCATTTAATTACCTACAAAATGCTTCTATTCTTTAGGTCAACCGTTTGATGTGGGGCTGAAAAACAAACAAAACAAATTAAAAGAATGGGTCTTTTTTTTCGCTTTTGTGACCTAAAAATTAACAAATTAACTTTCAGTTTTCGGTTTAATTTTCAGTTAATGAAACCATACTTACTGTACTTACTACATGTAACAGTGCAATGCTCATGATGCAGGTACTATATTCCTCCCTTACAAATACACTGGTGAGAGGTGTTAAATTTAAAACAACCCACCAACACAGCAAGTACATTTTTAAAGATTCATTTATTTAAACAAAATAATATCAAATACTGTAATAATAAACGTTTAATAAATAAGTAGGCCTAAACTAATGGCTAATAGAATTAGGGTGACCCGGGGCAATTCTGGCACGGGGCAATTATAGCAATGGCCTATATTTTTTTTAAATTTCAGCTTTACAGATCAGTGAAGCAATATTTGTTATTTCAGCATATACCTCCTATATATAGGAAAGCATTTTTGTAAAAATAAAATGTTTGTAGTAATTTTTATTAGCGATTAAAAAAGTACTTTCTTCCACAGCCCGAGGATATCGAAACATCGCACACGGCTAATTTTTTTTCCCCTATGAATTTTATATTTTATTTTTTTTTATACTCAAAGATAATTGTTCAGACTTAAAACTTCATGAACAAAAATAGTAATAGCAGTTATCCCTTTAAGATATTTAAATTTAAATGGGTGCTATAATTGCCCCATTTTCATATGCTATGGGGCAATTGTGGCAAAGAACCCGGGGCAATTATGGCAGCTATATATCTTTATACAAATAATGTATAAATTAAAGAATAAATTGTATAACAACGTGTGTTATGTGTAATATGTTTCATTTCAGTTCATTTGGATGGCTTTGTAAACACCTTTTGCTTAGATTACTCTATGGCAGCCTGATTATTTTTATTGTTTATTGTTGCTAGAAGTTTTGAGGTTAAGGCCCTTGTACGCTTGTACTGTCTTACCGGTTTATTCACAACTTCCTTATAAATAGAGATAGAACAAAAATTAAAACACCATCTTAAACAGCTAAATTAGGCCTATGCCATGATTGCCCCAATGTCAGAGCAATTTAAACAATAAGGAAAATATAAGGTATTGCTATAATTGCCCCAAGGTTGGGGCAATTCTGGCATCTGACACTCCAAAAAAAAAACCTCAAACCCCCTTAAGGGGAGTTTGAGATTGTTGTCTAAATATATGAAAACACTAGAGGAATAACATAGAATTACTATGGTAATTGTCAAAATAAAATGAAAAATATGTTCACCGCGGTACAAGCAGTTAAAGTTAAGGTTCACGTCTGGCTGCCAGAATTGCCCCGGGTCACCCTAAAATAAACTAAATAACTAACATATTAGAAAATTTATTACTGGAGCTTTGCTCGTTTAGTAGGCATCTTGTAGTGCAGCTGTTTCTGTTCGTGTTAGTGCAGCTGTTTCTTTTATCGAATCAGTCATTGATTCAGTAGACAAAGGACATTATACAATTGGCATATTTATGGACCTTTCTAAAGCATTTGATAGTGTAAAACATAGTAAATTACTAGAAAAACTTAAAATAATTGGAATATCTAAAAGAGCTCTTAACTGGTTTTCTTCCTATTTGACAAATAGATCTCAATTTGTGGAAATTACCCATTTGACAAATCATAATAGAATTATCAAATCATCATCAACTTATCAACCAATTAAATTTGGGGTCCCACAAGGTTCAATTTTGGGGCCTTTGCTTTTTTTCTGTTACCTTAAGGGCATGGAAGATAATTTAACCTACAAGCAAAATTCTATATTATGTCTTTACGCTGATGATTCTAATTTGATTGTATCATCTAAATCTCCAGAAGAAACTGAAATTTTTACATATGTAGAATTAGAGAATATTGGAAACTATTTCTACAATCATAACTTATTATTAAATTCACAAAAAACTAAATTTATAAATTTCAGAACAGCTCAGAACAAAATTACAAAAGAGCCAACAATAATTTACAACTCAAATAACATTCAAAAGGAAAATCTGATCAACTTTCTGGGTTTAACAATAGATGAAAATTTGAATTGGGATAAACACACACAGAAAGTTTTGACCAAAACTAACTCCGGAATTTATGCATTGTCAAATATGTCCTTTTATTGTAATTTGAAAACCCTAAAAAGTATATATTTTGCTCACATCCACTCTCATCTTTCATTCGGATTAGCATTATATGGGTCAACAAAAAAATTTAATATGGATAGCATTCTGAAGCGGCAAAAAGAGGCTATCAGAATTATGCTTAAGCTTAAAAGAGATGATTCGGCAAAAGAACATTTTAAGAAATTACAAATTTTTACAGTTTATGGGCAATATATTTATGAAACAATTCTTATTGCAAAAAAAAAAATGAATCTGAGCAAGTAATAAATTCAGTACATTCTTATAATTTCAGGAGGAGAAGAGAGTTTGTCCAGCCTCACAAATTACAATTTTTTGAAGAAAAAAAACCCTCATACGCTGGTAACGAGTTTCTAAAATTTGTCCCTGAATTGATAAAAAAAGAAACAAACCTATCTAAATTCAAGAAAATTCTAAAAGATGATTTAATAAATTTAGCATTATATTCTTTTGAGGAGTATTCCACCTCCCATACATAGATATAGTATTTTTATTTTAAGTATTCTGACACTATTCACTGTACCACCAATGTACATGACTTATGATGAATAAAGATGTTTGAATATGAATATCTTATGGGGTTATGCATATTATTCCACCCATGGCACGAAAAGTCCCTCGACCACCTAGAGTATTGACGTTGAAGTCGGCGTTATCAAAAACCAGTTGGCAGAAAGCATCGCCACGGTTGGGTTTCACCAGAGGTAGTTGTTGTTGCATGATGGTAGACACTTCAAGTAATTGTGCTTCGTGATAAGAGGAAGAAATCCAAAAGATGACATTAAATCTACCAGAAGCTTTGAACCAAACTTTTTGTACATGAATACATTTAATCCAGTCAGAAGGGGTGACACAAAGGACCTTGGTCTTGCAGCAGCTATGACAGCGTGCGATAAGGCCACACATTTCTTTTTTCAATTTCTCCACAGATCTTTTCTTGTTCTTTGTTATAACGGATGTCAGGAGAGTGGCAAAGATTGTGGAATAACTGTTGCAACATCATTAAAACTGGTCAGTGTGTGGGTATTCTGTGGTATTGTACACCTGACATCTAATATCTTCCAAAACTATGTCTGCTGCTGCTTTCACTACTCTTAGTCTCTCTCCTTCTCGATCTGTGGATTTCATTGTACTGAACCAGTTGTCGGTGAGTATTTTATATCCTGTATTTTTGAAACAGATTGTCGTTTTTTTGTGAGTATCAACAATTAGGATATCTTCACCGTACTTCTCCAGTAGGTGGGATTTATTGTTCTTGAATAGATTTGATGTTCACCCTTGATGCAAGAAATTTTGCAAAATAACAGAAAGTTTGATTTGTTACAGTTAAAAAAATTGAATATTTTCGTATCCATACAAGTCCACACAAATTACTATACATAATATATTTAACCGTCTACAACATTGACATTACGTATTTATCTTATTTTGATCTTATTTTGTTTAAATAAATGAATCTTTAAAAATTTACTTGCTGTGTTGGTGGGTTGTTTTAAATTTAACACCTCCTCTCACCAGTGTATATTTGTAAGGGAGGAATATAGTACCTGCATCATGAGCATTGCACTGTTACATGTAATAAGTACAGTAAGTATGGTTTCATTAACTGAAAATTAAACCGAAAACTGAAAGTTAATTTGTTAATTTTTAGGTCACAAAAGCGAAAAAATAGACCCATTCTTTTAATTTGTTTTGTTTGTTTTTCAGCCCCACATCAAACGGTTGGCCTAAAGAATAGAAGCATTTTGTAGGTAATTAAATGCTCTATACATGTGATTGGGATACTTGTTATCCTAGAATATTTCATAACTGAATTACAGCGATCTAAAGAACGAGATTTGGCAAAATAACAAAAAAAATTACGTTTTATTGTAAAATAATTTGAATATTTTCGTATCCATAAGTCTTAGAACCAAATTGTTATACTTATATTATAGGAAATTTAATTGTCTACAACATTGCAATTACATATTTTTTGCTAAAACGCACCAAAACGGAGATATAGGCGAAAATCTCTAGTAAGTACCGATTTTTTAGATTTTTCAATATGGCGGCGGGCGCGGAGGGGGTAGAATTGTGCATTTTGCGGTTTTAACACCTACTTACCATCCTAGACAACATATAAAAAATTTAGACTTACCGGACCGTTTGTAAGTTAACCCCCCTATTTCTGTCTCTATTTACTGGACTATATAGGGAAATTCGCTAAAATTGCAAACTTTTATTTGAAAATACTGTTTGCTCCTGCTGTTTGCAATAAAAGTTTGCAACTTTTTGTTTGAAACTCCGGTGTAAACGCGGCTTAAATTTTTGCGCTGGTTGGACGTCATCCCAGCTGAGTCTACATAAATGTTTAAATAAATTCTGTTAAAAATATGAGCATCAGTAAAACATGTAACTTACCTACTGCTTTTCAGTGTTTGTGAACACAGCTCTACAAGAAACTAACAGATAAGTAGTCCTAGCAGCACTGAAATATTATTGTTAACATTCCCTCAGTAACTTAGGCATACCCTACTGCCAAAAGCAGGAAAAAAGCTAGGCGTTCAGTTCTAGTTGGGGAAAGTTCTGGATACATCAACCATAAACAACTTAACTTACTGCAAAACCATTAGGCCTAAACAAAGTTTGTTTCATACGTACTTAGTCCAGTTTTTAACCTCAAAATGCAAGAAAACCCCATCCCTTCTAAAATGAGTGGCTTGATAAAACTAACCGCTGGAAGTTAGCATTGCTCTGCCCGTCTCTGGTGAAGGTAGGGATCCCAGACGTCCTCATTTCCCAGGACACGTCCTCCTTTTGGGTACATAAAAACGTCCGAGGAGATTTTCGGCAAGTACCTTAAAGTGTCCGGGCTTTAGACCATGGGTCCCTCTAACCCTTTTTTACTCAGTTACGGCTCAGTGTAGGGTTCTTGGACACTCCACAGCCCCAACCAGTGACGATGTTGGGGCAATGTATTAAAAGGTAGGCCTATCGCTTATTTTTTTAGTGTAACGTCGATAGCCTACTGTAAGTAATACCTATTTAGTAAAACCAAGTCTCCCTAATTAAAATTTAGTCGGAAGCCTAAATATTAACTTTTATTATAACCAGAAGTTAAATTTAGGCCTAGTTGTTTCTTAATTTTTGGTACACTGGTAAATTAAAACGAATCCAAACTGCATGTTTTTAAGTACTTATCGGAAAATAAATATAAAGATTGTTAAGGTAGCAAGAAGTAAATTGATTAAGCTGGTGAATTTGAGTCTAGAACTGGAGAATCATTTGTAGCCTAGGCCTATTTCACTCATTTCAAAGTAGGCTAGAGTCAAGTCCTAAAACTTAAGCCTGATTTAATTTTATAGCCTACTGGTGTGCCATCTGGATTGTTGATCATAGATTACTGTACAAAGTTAATAACTTATATTTTTATCTGAATTTTAGATCCCTCTCCCACTGAGCTGATTTCCAAGTTCCTAGCAATCTCTGCTGATGTTAGTTCATCCAAAGACATTATCTTGCTGGACCAGGATCATGAAAGAGATGATAAACAACCCAATCCTTGCAGACGAAGTCGAGGTCTCAAGATACTAGCACTCAAAGTTGCTGCATTCCTCAATTGGGACTTGGATATTTTGGAGCAAAAGTAAGCTGATTTTTAAATTCAAGATAAGGTTTTTATATTCATAATCCCCATTTAAATTTTGAATTTAGCCATAGGCCTACATCATCGTGTTTAAATTTAAATTTTTTTATCATGACACCTCTGCCTTGAGGTATATAAGATTAAAGTTAATAAAATCAAATTTTGGGTTAGTCTGATGATGAAAAATAATAACTTAACACGTTGACTGCTGTGGCGCGCGCCGACAAAAGTCGGCACCAGACCAACAGAAATATATTGAGTCAGTGTGAGCTTAGCCTCAGACAGAGACGTTAAAATCGTTGCCAGCCTGCCAGCTTAGAATGCGAGCTTTACTTTGGTGTAGGTTGGTACTAAAATTTCCCGTAAAATCCTGTCTGGCAATGCTTTTGTCCCGGTTTCGGGGATTTTTTCTCTTCAACCCACATTAAAAAGACACTGGATACGGATCCGTGCAGTGCTGCTACCTTTGGGTGTTTCAGTGAACTACATCCACTCTCGGGGTAACGCAGCACAGTCACCACTGCTCTTTTGTGATTCGTCAGACTGAAATATTTGAATGCCAATTGTGTTCGCTGATTCGGTTGCGTGCCGGGGCTTCGCCCGCCACTGGGGAGCGCCTGTACGTTGTTTTCAGCAGTCATCGTGTTAAGGGTAAACCTAGATATGTAGTACCAAACATATTTGCAGTAATCGTGCCTACTCCCCCACACAACAAAATTTAAATAAATAAAAAAAATATTTAAATACAATTTTCTACTTGTAAGTTGCGCTGGTCTAAATGTTAGTGTGCAAGATTTCTATCCTGAAAAACCAAGTTCAAATTCTGTCATTCACTAATGGCTTTTACCCACATGATGATTCACTGGTAGATGACAGATGATTCAATTTTACATTAAAAGCTGCAAGTCTACCCATCTAGAGAACAATAAAGTATGTATCTCAGGCAATAACCTTTGGAGAATCCAATAGACTACTAGGGTAGGCCTCATTGTACAGCTTGTGTCTGTGTAGGCTTCCGTTCTCCACCCAGTGGGCTTTGCTACAAGACTTGCTACATCTGGTACACGAGGAGATGGTGTCAACAGACCTCAGCCAGGAGCCTGATCACGTATTGTTCGCCGTGTCACTGTACCACCGTTGGGCGCTACGAGCTACCTATAACCACGCGCTGCAGTCTAAACTAAGGTAGATATATGCATACAGTACTTGATGCTACTTGTATTTTGGAATATATATAACCCAACAATAATTTTTATAGTGTAATCTAAACTATCTGTTATTAACATGCAGGAACCACTGTAGCTACACTCTTCTCTACAATAAAAATGGACAATCGTATAGTTTGGGATGTAACAAAGCAAAACAGTTCATCTCACTCGTCTCTAAACTCAACCTTCATCATATTTGGGTCAAAACACGCCCAGTAGTGTTCCTATATAAATTTGATGATAATTGGTAATATGGCTTGAATAGCTTTCTTCTTAAAATTTACATAATTTAAATCACTAAGTAAAATTTACACACAAGGAGTCGTAGGATTGTGAGTCATGTATTAGAATTACATCAGGAGTGTGTTTTAAGTCACAGAATTAGCATTGATAAAACTGGAGAAAGTAATAACTCTATTTAATATTTACAGGAATGGCTCTACCTTGGAAATGCAGGACGAGAGATTCACACGTCTTGAGCATGAAGCAGAGCAAAGTTTACAGATCCTACTAAATATTGTAAAACTCCCGCTGACATCTGAAATTGTTATCCCATCTTCTACAACATTTATTCCATTGGTTGAAAATACAATGAACGGGAAAACACCAAACTGGAATTTAGGTGTTAGAATTTCTTCATCACAGTTTTTCACTCTGGTAAATCCAACTTTATATTTTTCCAATAGCCTATTTTGTTCATTCTACTTCCCCCCCCCCCCCCACACTAAATATGAAAGAATATATATTTAGAAATATGTCATATGAAAGAACATTATATATTGGTAAGCAATTTTCTCAAATTTCAATGAATTTGAATTTTTTTCATCCACAGTTACATAGTCCACAGCTCAAAAGTCAAAACATCAGGTAGTTATACTGGATAGCAATGTTCTGCAATAAAACTGGTTTTGGACATAGTACTAAGCGATTCTGATAGATAGCAGCACTACCCAGGTTGCAGTCCGTAAAGTAGTGTCGCTATCTAGCAGGAAAGAGGTGGACAAAGCCCTGTTCAAAAAAACCCTGAGGGTGATTTTGGGAAACTATAATTTTTATTTGTCAGAAAAGTACGTCCCCACGAGCTGCAAAGACATATAGGACCCCCGTGGCGAGCTGGCTGATCCATAGAAACATTAAACAACCAATGAACGGTTACGCTCCGGAACGTTCCTAGCTCCTGGCCGTGGCCCCGCTGCCGTTCCGGAACGTCCATAGCAGCGAACGTGTTAAATTATCCGATTAAGTTAAGGGCTGGGACCGATTGTAATCGATTGTATGTCAACAAATAAAAAAACTATGATCAGCAGTCTGTGACTTGTTTGATTTTATGTTATAAACTAAGCAACACAGTGAACGCAAGTTTAATTCACATGCTTTTAGGATTCATCAGTCTGAATCAACAAAAGTGAACAATAGGTTCACTACAGAAAAAAAACCTTTTTGTAATTTGTTTAATATGACAAAACAGTGTATTTTCAGATGCAGTAGGCCTACTAGAATTACAAAGTAATGTAAACAAACAATTATCATTAAACTTCAATGCCGAAGTTCAACCATGAACCTTTTGAAGAAGTCTTGAATTTGTAAATAGAATCAATGAATACAAACCCTTTAAGAAGCGCAATGCCTTTGTAAAAAATTCAGTCTGGAAATATTTTAATTTTTGATAGTTCCCGCAGCGACCGTTAGGTAGGCTATCGCGAGCGTGCGGCCAAGTCAGCTGACTGAGTGAGACAAAGAATCTGCTTAGAAAGAGAGATAGATAAAGTAGCCCGGCTGCTGCGCAAGCCATCTTAGCGGCGGCCCCACAAAGCTCATTTAGGCAGCAAAATTCCAGTCTGACTATTCTCCATAAGCATTTCGCTTCTTAGGGTTTGTATTCATTTATAGAATCAGAATGTTATAATTTATGTGAGACTGTGATCATGACATTAAATTATTTGTTAGAATCCACATTTTTCTACACACTTTTAATCAAATCTTTAACATTATCAGATATTAATGGATTTAGCAACATACTTATTCTACCGAGAAGACCACACAGCTGCACTTCATAACTTTGAAAAATGCAAAGAAGAGTTCCTAAAGTGGAGTAGTTCCAGTAGAGATTTAGAAAACCGATATTTCAAAACTGACATAGACACAATAGACGGCTACATCACGGCCTGTCAAGCTCCTGTACTATCCAGCAGGCTGTCTCTCACAGATAGATTCTTGATCTCCTTGAACCATCATTATGAAGTGAGTAGTACGATTAATCTTTATATAGTAGGTAGAAACTTGTTTCTCAATTACAAGTGTACATTAAATATCCCCTTGAAAACGTCATAAAAAATTATATTAAATTAACCTCTATAAGTATTTATTTCTATCCAAACAACACCAATAACTTTTTTTACAACAAAGTAGACCTAAATCTGTCATTGAGACCATTGATTATAGATTATAGAAACTAAAGTTTGCCCTAAAAATAAAATCAATGGTGTTACTGTATTATATTTGATTTTATATTAGGCCTTTCAGTCAATAATAATGAGTTCAATATTTATTTGAATTCTATCTCCAATTAACAAATTAATGATTTTAAGGAGCTTTTAATGCACTACAATTTTGCAATAACTCAACACGGTATTGGAAAGCAGCAGTTAGCACAAGCACACAATGATTTCAGCATGTGTGGGATCAGTAGGCCTATGCATATATTCAACAATTCATTTTACGCCATACTACACTGTTTTAACGAACTTCCCACGCAAGTATTTAGTCCAGAAAACAGCTGTTTGCCGCCAGCTTAATCAAATGGGGTTTCATTGCGTACTACTGTTATGCAATGAGTTTTACCGGACACCAATCAGCTGATTATACAGTAGAACTCCAATTATCCGAACTCCAATTAACCGAATCTCCAATTATCCGAATCGCTTATTTCAACAATTTTAAAAACGTAAAGCTACAGTAATAAGTTTTGCAAAATATCAAAGAATTGTTATTAAACACATTTAGCCAATTTTGGACTTTGATGGAACACTATTGACTTAATAACATGTATAGAACACTTGTACTATGAGCATTATAAACTGTAATAATGTTCTGATTTAAATTATTATTAATTAAAAGTTCACTTAGTACCGAAAATGAGGATTTTTCCTTAAAATTCCCGGAATTCAGGTAAAACTCCGATTATCCGAATTTTTGATTATCCGAATGGGGTCTGGTCCCTATTGATTCGGATAATCGGAGTTCTACTGTACTGTATTTGGGTGGCAATGAGTGGTTGTATACAAAAACATAACCTCGCTTAGAGGTTATGACTAGTGATTTTTAGTCCTTTAGTTGGTGGTTGGTAATATATAAGGATTTGTAGAGATTTAGTTGTATGGCGTAAACTATCGTACGCAACTCGTCCAAAATGTATTTACCGGACTCGTATGGTAATCCTGTACTCGACTTCGTCTCGCACGGGAACGACCACACTCGTCCGGTAAACACTTATTTTCAGGACTAGTAACGTAATATACTATTTCCTACCACTGCATGGAAACGATCTCATTCCGTCACCTTTAAACAGTGTGTAAAATAATGTTTAGTTGGTCTAGAGACTCATTCCCACTCGCTAAATCAGCTGATTTCACAGTTGACTAAATGGGTTTTTTTTTAACCTGTCATGGAGTTCCAAAACTAACAATAGTGTTACATGTGTCGGGAAGATGCTCTTAATACGTAAATCTATATCACTTGGATCATATGTTAATAGCATTTGCCTTGTTCAAGGGAATTCTCGCAATCTTGTCTGAAGACAATTTGAAGAGAGAAATCCCACCGACGTTACGGGAGAGCCTAGAGCTGGATATCGCAGCAGCTGTAAGCTCTGGAGGGTTCACTGCCACTCGTGATCTAATCTTCCAGATACAGAGCATCAACACGGTGTACAAGCGAGCTGCAGACCTGCCTTGCGTGTACGACTATGCAGAGAAGTTACAGGCAGCACGCAGAGGTGTTGACATATTTACATGGGTGAGAGTTTATATTGTAATTATTGCTAACCAATCTGTAAGGTTATGTGAAAACTGGTTATTGATTTTGTTGAACTCTTCTATAGAATGTTGGACAAACAAGACTATGTTGCTACCCTGAAATAAAAATTACTATTTTTATATGTTAATATAGAGCTTCCCAACTATGCTATACATACAATAAATACAATTTGTAAAAAAAATTGTTATAGGCACTATCTATAATTTGTAAAAAAATTAAGTAAATTACAGAAACTAATCTCAGATTGTATTTCAGGCGTTAAAATCAACTGTCACAGATTCTCAGCAGTTGGAGAAAGAGCGGTTGGCACTTTTTGTCTTGGAAATTCTCGAAAGTGTTGAACCGCCCACTGAGGCAGAACTGAGGAACCACGACTACATCAAACAGCTGATCAAAAACTTGCCTCCATCCCCAGGAAGTACCAAGCCTCCGGAAGTTCAACACTTTGTGTCTCCAGATTTCAGTTAGTTTTTTTTTATATTTGCATTCCTATTTTATGGTTGTATGGCTACAAAATAGTTAGCCTTACTATGAAACGTATTAGCTGTGCCAGCAGTTAACTTGTGATGAATGGCAGCAGTCCAGAGTTAAGAATACAAATCAAATCAAATTATGCTTTATCAATTTTTATACATTTGAAATATGTTTGAATAGGTTTTAGAAGATTAGAAGATTGTAACTCACATCAAGTTTTGGTTCTGCTTAAAAAACATTTAAAAAGTTAAAATCTTTTTGAAACTAACTTACTGTTAGCTCGGTGTGGTTTATAGAATTGATCCTCTATATAGACCCAGGTCAAATGAGTAAATCATCATAACACTTGGTTTTTGTACTTAACAATGAACTAACAACTTAAAAAAAGGCATAAACATTGAACCCAAGTAGTTTCTATGTTGCGTATGTACAATGTACAAGTGTCTGTATACAGTTTCAATGCAACACCATAGATGCCGAGATTCGGTAAAAGTTATTAGTTTACCTACTTAGTAAACACAAATTATAGGTTCCTCAAGCTAGGGGAATGTTCTATATATATTGAGAAACTCCCTCTAGAAAAAACTATCTGACAACTATATCATAGTATTTTATCTTTAAAATGTTTTAACTTACGTAATCCAATAGCGTATTTTTGATAATTAATTGTAAGCTAGAGTTCTAAGAATATTCTGAGCAATTGTTAAACAAACAATTTATATTATCTATTTTTATTAGCTAATAATTTAAGTAAACTAAGGTTTTTTTCAGATAACATAAAATTGAAAAACGGTGAACTTGAAAATCAGCTGATGACCAGTTATGAACCTATTCACATCAAGGAAGTTATCATTAAGCTAGTAGAGGCCAACGCCTTGAGACCTGTGTGGCAGATTGAAAACAAGGTATGTTACCCTTTCTATAGAATATGTATCTAAATTCTTAACATGTTTAAAAGCAGACTACCAAATAATAAAAACAATTTTATGGACTTAACTTTCTTGTTTATTTACAAGCCCCTTATTATGATCCACTCAAGTGAGCTAGCTCAAGGCCCCACTAGAAAAATGGTTTTCCTAGCCTTGGCTAGCTACCTAAAACTGTTAAAAAAGGTGCAAATTAATAAAATTCAAACTTATAAATAAAAGTAGAAAGCCTACTCTATCAAAAAAAATTATTGAGTGGGTTTAAAAAAGGTTAAAATGTTCTTGACATGAGTATGATATAATTTTGACGCTAAGTGGTACAAAAACCCTCATGACTCTGTTTCTAAATTTAAATATTTCTTTAAGTTCAGTATAAAATTCTTTTACAATTTTTTATCTAAATAGGCCTAGGCCCTAAAAAAATAATAAAATGCTGTACCAGCCCATTTGATCGAAAGAGTGTTTAAATAGCATTAAACTAGTCTGATTTTTATTGTTAGGCACCTTCAGTAGTCATTCAGTTACTTTTATTACCTACAAATCCCATTTGCAATGATCAGGTTATAATAATATGATAAACTCAAAAAAACTTTAACTTTAGCGTTGAAGTGAAAGGTAAAACTCACACCACAGTTAAACATAGATACTTTATTAGCCAAGATCCCAAAAGTAAGTCTTCAAGCTCAAAACAACAATACAATAAAAACAAACATCAAATATGCAACATATGATAGCAATTATAAAAATACCAAACAGCACATCTTCTCTTTTCTCTTTTTTTTTAGTTTATTTGTAAAAATCTGAATCACTGTATCTAAGAGGTGGTTTTACACTTCTTTTAGGTCTGTCATTTTCATTGCTATTGTAATTATGTCCAGCATCAGTTTCAGTTCCTTGGTCTTCTTGGTATTGGTGTTCAAATCTATTTCCACCATTTTCAATAGGCCTATGCACAGCTATTATATGTCTCCTGTTCCTTCTGATCTTCCCTGCCTGTGTATTTATCAGGTAGGACCGAGGATGATTTGATTTATTCTCAACATGTCCATAACGTTTTAAATCTGGAATCCAAACTTTGTCATTTTGATCAAGCTGTGAGAGATCTCTTACACCTTTCCTTACATCGTAGTTTCTCTTATTTCTTTCCTTGATTGAAAAATCCTTCTCTTTAAACTTTTGCAATCTTTCCGAGGATGATTTGATTTATTCTCAACATGTCCATAACGTTTTAAATCTGGAATCCAAACTTTGTCATTTTGATCAAGCTGTGAGAGATCTCTTACACCTTTCCTTACATCGTAGTTTCTCTTATTTCTTTCCTTGATTGAAAAATCCTTCTCTTTAAACTTTTGCAATCTTTCCCTTGTTACCTGTCTGAAGTTATTTATTGACGGTAATGTTGATCGGAGCTTCCGTGAATAAAGTAACTCTGCAGGTGAAAGACCAGACTCTAAGGGTGTATTTCTATATTCTAACAATCCAAGATTTGGATCACTACATTTCGTTAGAATCCGCTTCGCTATGTCAACTGCTTTTTCTGCTTCTCCGTTTGATTGTGGATACCTTGGGCTTGATGTCACTATACGGAAACCATATTCTTCAGCAAAATTTTTAAAATCCTGAGAAGTAAATTGCGGACCTCCATCAGCTCTTACCACATATGGTACTCCATGTCGAGCAAATATATTTTTCAATCTAGCAACCACAGCTCCAGTAGTCAATGCATCCACATAAACCAGTTCAAGAAATCTAGAATAGTAATCTTGCACAACTAAATACCATTTTGCATTACATTTCAAAAGATCAATACCTAAAGACTCCCAGGGATTTTTTGGTAGTTCAGTCAACAGTAATGGTTCTGATTTGTTACTTCTTTGCTCCAAGCAAACTGGACAATTTGTTACAAGTGTAGCAATATCTGTTGAGCAGCCAGGCCACCACACCGATTCATACACTCGCCTTCGACATTTGACAATTCCCATGTGACCTTCATGTATTTTACTCAGTATTTCCTTTCTCAACGATTTTGGAATAAACAGTCTTGTGCCTAAAAGGAGGAATCCTTTACTGATGTTTAGATCAGTCCTGTACTTCCAATACACCGAATTTTTATTCCAATTGTTATTCACAATCCAGGATTTAATTCTTCCGCATTCCTCATCAGTATCCTGAGCTTCTTTGATTTCCTTGAGCCTTTTGTCAGAACAAGGAATAGCATCTAAAATACTCTGAACAAACAAATCTTGTTCCAATATGTCTTCATGTTCTTCATTTGACTTAATGGGGTTCCTAGACAAAACATCTGGTACATAAAATTCCTTTCCTTTCACATATGTTACTTTATATCTAAAACAAGCCATTCTCATTCTTAACCGCTGAAGTCTTGCCGATAAACTAGCGATTTGTTTACTTCCAAGCACCTGAACTAAAGGTTTATGGTCAGTCATAAGTTCAAACTCGGTTCCTAAAACATACTGTGAAAATCTCTCACATGCCCAAGTCAGTGCCAGTGCCTCCTTTTCTATCTGAGCATAACGCATCTCTGTCGGTGATAAAGATCTCGATGCATAGGTGATTGGTTTCCACTTTCCATCCACAAATTGTTCAATCACCCCTCCTAGGCCAAATGACGAGGCATCAGCTGCAACTCTGGTTTTACGATTTTTGTTGTAAGACACCAGAACTGGATTTGAAGAAATTAGGGATTTAATTTTATCCCAAGCACTCTTTTGAACGTCAGACCAAACCCACTGATAACCTTTCTTAAGTAAAATTCGCAATGGAGCTGTAACTTCAGCCAAGTTAGGAATAAACTTCATCAAATAATTAACCATGCCAAGAAATTGCCGAAGCTCGTTAACATTATTTGGGGTTTGCATTTTCATAATGGCCTCCACTTTCTCAGGATCAGGCTTTATCAATCCATTTTCAATCAAATGTCCTAGAAATTTAACTCTGTTCACATTAATGCTACATTTATCTTTATTAAGCGTAACATTGTGTTCTCTCAATCTTTGTAATACATTTGCTAGTCGATGGTCATGTTCTTCCTGTGTTCTACCGACCACAAGTATATCATCTGCTTGGTTTACTACCCCATCCAGTCCATCCAAAACTTGGTATATCCTCTTCTGGTAAACCTCTGGGCCAGAATTAATACCGAATGGTAACCTCTTGAAAAAGAATCGCCCAGAAGGAGTTATAAAAGTCGTAAGCTTGTAACTTTCATGATGTAAGGGAACTTGAAGAAATCCATTTGTAGCGTCTAGTAATGAAAATATTTGTCCGCCTTCTAATTTACTTAGACTTTCTTCTACAGTTGGTAGTTGCCACCTTTCTCTCTGAATGCTTTTGTTGAGTTCGGTATAATCAACACATAGCCTCACTCTATCACCTGTCTTACGCGGTACAACAACAATTGGTGCACACCAGTCTGTTGGTTCTACCACTGGTTCAATTATTCCCTCAGAATGCAGTCGATCCAATTCTTCTTTGACTTTGCTCAATAATGGAGCGGACACTCTACGAGGGGCTGCCACAGCAAAGGGACGAGCATTTTGTGTTAGTGCAATTCTGTAGTTTTCCCCTTTCATTTCACCAATAGAACCAAAAACATCAGAAAACTGAGAAAATATTTGGTTAGAGAAAATCGAATCAATGTTGAACTGAATTAGGTTTAATTTCAACATTGCATTTCTACTTAAAAGTGGAGTAGGTTGTTGCTCAATGACGTAAATATCTTCTACAATAGATTTATTTCTAAAAACCAAAGTAGCAACGATCTTACCAACCACTTTCAACCTAGTTTTCCCCGGACCAAATAATATTTTACTTGTTTCACTCGTTTCCAGTTTTAATTCCTTGCAAAGATCATATCCAATTATAGAAACATCTGCTCCAGTGTCTAACTTAAAATAAATATCATGCCCCTTGACATTAAGTTTTACTTTACAAGGATTTTGTCCTCCAACCTCTTCTATGGTCAATTCCCCTAAATAGGTTTTAGGTTTTTCTAATGGTTCATTACTTTTATTAATTTCTCTCACTTCAAATCCTTTGGTACAACATCTCACATAGTGTCCCTTTATTCCACATCTGAAACATGTAGACTGATTGGCAGGACAATCATTGCTATTGTGATGACCAACAAATCCACATTTGTTACATTTACCTTTCTTTGAAAAGCTTTGATCTTGACTTTTATTGCAAGAACTGTCCCTAAACCGATGTTTAGTGGATTGATTAATCCCCTTATTGACAAACTCAATTTCTGGTGATTCCCTCACTACTTTTTGTTGTTGTTTTAAACTCTCTGCTTGTCTTGCTTTCAAAATTGCTGTACTTAAAGTTAATTTTTCATCCAACTGTAAATTTTGAGAAAGTTTATCATCATTTACCCCAATTACTATCAAATCTCTAATTAGTTCATCTTTTAATTCCCCAAGTTTACATCGCTCTGCCAGTTTGTGTAAACTATTTATAAAAGAATCAACAGGTTCCCCCTCAGACTGACGTCTTTTTAGAAATTTAGCTCTCTCATATACAATATTGATTTTGAAACCTAAGTAAGACTCAAATCTACCCTTGACAGTGTCATAACTCTGTAATTCTTCATCTTTTAATCCGAAAGATGTTAGAAGGTCTTCTCCTTCATCTCCTAGACAGTATAAAAGCATATTAACCTGATTTTCCCCACTCTTACTGTCTAATCCTGAAGCTAATCTAAACCTTTCAAATTTTCTTATCCATCTAGGCCATTCAGAAGGTTCCCTGAAATTGAAAGGTTCAGGTGTGACGAGTTGGTATTGAACTGTACTAATTGTACTACTCACTGCTTCAGCCATGCTTAGTTCTTTCTTCTCCACAAAAGTTTATTTAACCTGACACCATGAAGTGAAAGGTAAAACTCACACCACAGTTAAACATAGATACTTTATTAGCCAAGATCCCAAAAGTAAGTCTTCAAGCTCAAAACAACAATACAATAAAAACAAACATCAAATATTCAACATATGATAGCAATTATAAAAATACCAAACAGCACAAGCGTCTGCTATAATTTGTATGAATGGAAAATAATTGGCTTTGTTTTTGTCATGCTGATTTCTCATGTACTTTTTCCAGTGGGAACTTGGCATCCCCCTCCATGGCATAGTGTTGAGCATGCCCCAAGGAATTCTGCAGCATTATCTTTATGTGTTGCTGGGCAAAGCCAAGTATCTGGATAGTCTTGGGGTGAGTTTTTTCCATTAGCAAAATTAAATTGAGCATGGTCAACTATATCTGTGTCAAGTCAAGACTAATTTTATCACATTTTGTTACAAAAATTATGGTGTAAAAATGGCTTAAAAACACAAGTTCTATAAACAGATGATTCTGTTATCTATCTACACATAATTCCGTAAATTACAACAGAGGTGAGTGGCAGAAATTGCTGCAATGGGCCCCTAGTATACTTTTATCACAGATTACGGAATAAATCGGTATATGAACTAGGAAATTATTCAATTTTCAAATTAGCTCAGAATTATTAAAAACTGTAGCCAACAAAATTATAAACCAGAATTAGATTCCTTTTTTATACATTTTTTGAAAAAACATTTTTTTTTGTTTTTAAATGTCATGAACGACATGGTCGGTGATGTTGCAGAGGTATGATGTTGCCAAGCGCTTACTCTCAGCTGCTGAAGCTGAAGTCAACCACCACGGAGGAATGTTGAAATTGAACCAGCTGATAGTGTGGGAAATTCTTCTGGTGGAATCTCACAGTCTGTTGGCTGAATGGCCGAGCAAAAACGGTATGTGGTAAAGTTAAAAACTCAGTACAGTACATAAAATGCAAAACTCATAATGTTTATTTCAAGAAATGATGTATACAATAATGTTCTTTCTTTATAAAAATTAGTGATTTCCTTCTTAAATATTTAAAATACAGTATACGCTTGCTAATATGGCATGTTCAGGATTTAGAGGCGGATTATTGAAAATACCGGATTACTGGACGTCTTTAAAAAATTCTATTACTGAGACTAGCAATGAAAATACTGTTAATTTAATTTTAGAGGGTCAAAAAGAAATCATTGGTTAGTAGGTCTTTATTCCCATGTCTTACTGTACTTTATTTTATTTTAGTAGTGATATAAAATGGTAAAAATTTAAACCAAATGCCTCTGAATTCAATTGAGTGCAAATAACGTCCATAATTTTCTCCTGACGTCTGCTGATCATTCCCGACTGCCAAACGCGCTTAAATGACTTATATCAGCATAAATACTTTTTTTTTAGATCTTAAGACTGGATTATTGAAAGTGCCAGACATCGTATTTCACATTAGTGGGCTGTAACTGTAATTTCAATTCCTTCATTACTTTTTAATCAGAAAGTCGTGTTGCAATTCTTTACCAAACAGTTCTTTACCAAACAGTAATATAATAAGATTTAACATAAGGCTATGTATTTAGTAATTAAATTATGTAATAATGTGATAAGTTTCAGTTATAAATTTCCTCCTACCTAAGTTCTACCTTTTGATAACAGCAAGTTAGGCTATGGATACACTACTATGAGTAATGAGAAAGATGGGCGACCATTAGAAACAATGACCTGGTAGAACAAGGGTGAGTGTCGCCTCTAATGCAGTGGTCGTGAGGGCCCTCAAACTCAACTCGAGTGGGCCAGACCGAGTAGTCACTTTTTGTTACACCCAACCCTCGGATTTGGGCTTCAAGACTGCAAGACTGTCGATACATCAGCTGACATGATGACGTGATCGCGGAAATATTACAGCGGAAACGTCTACAGGCTTCACATATGGAGTGATGGAGTGACCTCTTATACGCGGAGTCAATGAAACTATACATATGTTTAGTTTGGACAGATCTTATTACTTAGAACCAGGGTTGAAACTGGCACAACATGAAATGGATAAATAATTAAAGAAAGATAAGTTTAATGGTATCTGGTTAGGGGATTTATAATGTAAATGGCCATGTGTATTGCTGTTGAAGTTTTAGAAAAGAAAACATACAGTAGTGTGCTGCCATATAATAAAAATGCCTTTCTTACACGTTAACTTTTTAACCATGCCAAATGAATCAACAACTTACTCTAGGTTGTAAACTCACCTTACAAAATACAATATTCATTTAGGCTAGGCCTATTCTATAAATGTTTAAAGTTAATAAATTAACAAAGATAAGGATTACAAAAGGTGTTTTATTTAAACAAATGAACAATTAACATGCAATGAGAAAAGGCTTGACGTTACAATGAAAGGATTGACAATGGTGTATGGGGTTAAAATTAAATTGAAATAAAAGATAAATTTGAATAATAACTTGAAGGTTCAAATAATTTAGATGTGATCTATCTCAGGGTAGGGTGTCGTGCTGGCTTGAATGCTAATCTTATCTTACTAATATTATAAATCTGAAAGTTTGTGAGTTTGTGTGTATGTTTGTGTGTGTGTTTGTGTGTGTGTTTGTGTGTGTGTTGCTCAATCACGCATAAACTACTGGACGGATTGGGCTGAAATTTGGCATGATGATAGCTCACATTCCCGATTAACATTAAAGCATATTCTTATCTCAAAAACCCTTTCGGGCTCCGCCCCAGTGGCTCTGTAGTTCCCCATGTTAATCTAATGATTTTTCAAATTTAAAAGGAATTCATGAATCTTAACAGCTGTTTCAATTAAACAAGTTGGTTCTGTTCTATGATGTTTAATAGCATAAAAGTTACAAGGATTACCAACAGGGTGCAGCACTATTAATTTTTTTTTTATTTATGACAACAGCTAATTTCCAACCAAAAGGTAAGTGAGCGTAGCGAACGAACTTCATCCTGGAGTCGAGTTAGCGTAGCGAACGAGCTAACCTGAATGCAAGTGAGCGCAGCGAACGAGCTCCAACCTAAAGGTGAGTGAGCGTAGCGAACGAACTTCAACCAGGACGTGAATGAGCCATGCGAATACTTATGAATCTAAACGGGGCGAAGCCCGCGGGTACAGCTAGTAATTAATAAATGTAATAGTGTCCAAATAGGCCTAATTAAGGTGTTGAACTTATAAATCCCAACAATGAAAAATCTAATTTTGGTGTTGTCCAAAAGGTAAGTCCAATTAGCACAAAATTTAAAAGAGTTTAAAGAAAAGGTTATACTTAATTTTGAAGATAATGATTGAGTTGAGTCCTCTTGAGGTTTAGGCTACTATATGATATAACTTGAAACTTGAAATTAACTTGATTCTTGATAAATGAATTTGATTTAACTTAGGTAAAATTTTGACTCCTTCTTCTAACAATTTCAACTTCTCAATGGCTTCCTTCTCTCTCAATTTCAATGTTCACATCACTGATTGTTGAACACATGGGATCACTTTCACTGCTTCTTAAATTTTGATTCCTTAAGGACTAATTTTGAAATGATATTATAAGAAATTTTGATGTATTGCAATTCTCTTACATATTTAATAAATAATTAGGTTGTGGGCGTTGTAAAAAAAAAAAAAATATATATATATATATAGGCTATGAAATGAATATTATTAATGATTAATTGAACATATTAATGAAATTATATAAATTAGGAAAATGAATATTAGGACAGTCTTTCTGAGGAGTGATTATTAGGTGTATGAATAAAAGTTAACATAAAAAAAAATCAATACTAAATAATGAATGAAATGAAATGAAATATTACAAGGTTAACATCTTTTATAGTTAAACCGAAATATAAAATATACATTTTATTACACAGTTTAGAGGCTTATTTAACCAAGTTCTCTTTGAGTGAAACTGGCTACAGCTGGTCCTTGTAAATGGGGAATCTTTGTATACAAATTCAATGGCATTAGTGGGTTTTCATATTTCTTTATGGAAGAGTGATTAAAATTTAACAAAATAAGCGTTATTATCTAACGTTATTCTTATAAGCGAAAATGCAATGTTTCTGAAAAATAGTAATCCCATTTCTAATATTGATCTATACATCCTATTGGTCAATCTTCGATGCTCACCACATACCACTCTTGTTCCAGGAAGCAATGCTATGGTTAGCCACGGCTGCCTCAACGTACTCAAGTTGACAGATGCCATGGTGTTGCCAAGAGTTGAGGTAAGATTGAATATCACATTAATTGTTGCATTGTATTTGAGTTTTTGACCCAATTGCCTATACATCGAAGCACTGGTACATAGCCCTAGTTCCAAAAATGTCTGCTTTTGATCAGAGCTACAACAACTGAGGAGTGATCTCTTTCAATTCCCTTCTTTTTTTAACTACAGCCTTCTTTATCTTGTATTGTGCCTTGTATTTTCTAAATTTTCAAAAATAAATTAAGTTTCTTACAATTTTTTGTTAATGTTCAAATTTCTGATCCATACTTCTGGGAGAGCCATTTAGTGGTATAATTTGATTTGAGTATTTTTACAGTAATTTTACGCGCAAATTCCATATATCATGTGTGTTGACTCTGTTTCAAGGTGGTGGAGCAGGCGGCCATTACTCTGTTAAACCTGGGGGAGTGGGAGCCCCTCATCTCCCTCGGCCCTGGCAAACGTCTCATCATGTGTGACTTGGCAGCTAAGCTGGCACAGGCTTGTCATGACATTGTCAGGTTCAGCGGCAGCAAGAAGATCTCACGGGAAGCCTGGGACCTCAGTAAGTTCTCAGTTTCAACCAAATTGTGTTTATCTGTTGGTTAGGTGAATCCATTTTGTGATAACTTACCAAATGAAGACTTTACACATTCAAAATTTAGTTTATTCCCTCAATCAAAATTATATAGTAAAGAAAAGCCTTGTGTCTTGTTAAAGTAATCTGTTTTCCTTTATATTCTGGACTGAGTGATGGTCAAATGATAAAACATATAAATAAAAGTCATGTTTGACGATCTTAAAACAGAAATAGAGCAGAGACTTGAGTATTTGGAAAGGATCTGAAACCTATAGAGTTTTAATGATGGTTTAAAAAAATAAAAATATAAAAATTTCTTTAACAATTGTTTGTACAACTGTTGTTGTAATTAACTGTTTACTGTAGAATATAAAAAAAAACATTTTAAATAGGTCTATTAGCCTAGGTTAGCGTCTCAGGTTACGGTATAAGAGTTAGATCTGCAGTGCATTTTTTCCATAACATTTTGAGTTTGTATTGCTTTTCCTTAAAATCATAATGTTTCCTCTCTCTAACAATGTGTCTCTTGCGTGAATTAATGTGAGTGCAATTGCCATTTTCATATTTTTTTAACTCTGTACGTAATATGTTTTTCACAATAGCTCTAATTTTCTTGCTTTTTGTAGCTCTCTACTCTACCCTATGAATGCTATTGTTAATACGCATCATGTTTCTGCAGTTGTGCCAGTGCTAGGCCCGTCCGCAGCAATGAGCCGGCGAGGTCTGGGCCATGATGCCCCGCTGATGCAGGCAGTAATGCGGTTCTTCAGTCTGCTGCGGGATTGGACCGTGCTCAGTGCTGCCATCTCTCTGTTGGCGCGGTTACACAATGTGTTGCGTGATGAGACCAGCCTAGAGCTTGTATTTGACCATACGGCGCTCTGGCCTGGAGTAGTCAGCAAGTATGTTGTCTGTACTTAGCAATTTTATTAGTATACTTTCGCTATTCAACTAAATTGTTATACGAAGTTATGTCATGTAGTTTAAGATGCTAATTTGTCTTGATTGTTCTAAACTCGACCCAGTTATCTTATCTCTGTTCATTGGGCTTTTTGATAAATGTTCATAGCTAGCTAAATACCGTAAACATTTGTTCTTAGTAAGTAGCTACAATAATAAAAATACACAAGGCATCTCACTCCATTCGCCACTCATCTTTCACACACCAGTTGTGTCCCCTTCTCTATTGCTAATATGAATAACCTAAATGAAAGATGTAAGCCAGTTCATTTTCTGAACTTTCCTGGATCATATTCAAGGAATATATTAAACTATTGTCGGGACCATGTAAGTTTGCAGTTGGTGGCAGCCAATCACAAGACAACGCTAGTGCGACGTTGCCACATCGCCCATTGCCAAACTAATTAAAATATATAAGCAATATTTTCAAATCAGCTGGTATTATTAGATTTGGCAACACCGCACAGTTCTCATTGGTTCATTCAAACCCATATGGTAAATAGGCTCCTCCCTCAACTGCAAACTTACGTGGTCCCGACTATAATAAAACATTCAATAACATTAATTTACTATCAAGTGGCTGAACTTTTGTTGCTTTAAGGTTTCAAGTGTCCCAAAATCATCTTTATTATAAATCATATGACGGCTTACTCTGGTTTTAAAATTGTCAATTGATGAGATAAGATAACTCTAGCATTCTAGTAGAATAGGTTAGAAAGGAAAGAATAATGAACTGAAACTATGCATCTGTGTGTTCAATCACTAAATGTACATTGTTTGGAAGCAAAGAATGTCCTAGTTTACCTAACACTGTACGTGTATTGGTTTTTCTCAGCACAAGCTCATATAACGTACAGCTGGTGAGTGAAACATTGCTCCAGTTGGTCAACACAGCTCTGGAGTACTATCCGAAAAACATCAGCTTGCACAAACTGCTGGGCGATTACTACTACAGTAAGTAACATGCTTCTATTGTCTGACAATGTTGTACCATAGATTTAACATACCCCATAGATTTGTCTTCCTTATAGATGAGCTCCCTACTTATATCCTGTTGGCTACCGGAAGCACCGGCCAATAAATTTGTATAAGTACAACTGGAGTTGAAATTTACTTGTTCATTAATCAGCTTATTTCTATTTTTACATTTTTCCTTATAAATATACAACTCCCAAAGCATTCATTACATATCCTTTTTTACTATTCTTTTAAATACATAGACTATCCTCCATTTTTCCTATTACGTGGCCATTTTGTAACAGGTGTTGTGTGACATTTGATCTTTCCGGTTTGTTGTTCCTCCATGCAGATATGTGGTTTTTGAAGCGGTTAACGAAGTTCACAGTCTGTCCAATGTAGAAGCTATCACAATCGTTACAATTGATTCTATAGATGCCCGTTATTATTTATGGAACTAAATAATATCGTAGTGTGTTGTAATTATTGATTTATGTAAATTTATAGCGGGATGAACAATATATTGATTTGATTTAATTTAATTTTTGATCAGTCAACGGACAGCACAGTGCTGCCATGAAGCACTACCTCTTGGCCGCAGTTATCGCTACAGACAGCTTTAGCCGACCCCTGACCAAGGCCACCATTGAAGATCATGTGTACAAACGCATGATCAAGTGTCTCAGTCAGATGAACTGCCACACTCAGGTATGTTCCTATTAAACACTTGAGGCTTCTTTTGAAGGTATAGAAGGATTTTATAACGTTTTACAGGCTCTTGTGTAAATACCAGATACGTTATGATATTGTTAATAGCTCAGATAGATCCTCACAAAAATATTTCAAATTTAATATTGAAAAAAATGTTTTTCATATGGAAATAGAACTATTTTTTAGCAAATCCCAAGTTATACAAATATTTTTTTTATCGTAAACTATTTATATTTCTTTTATGCTACTGCATTTTTTAGTTATTTTATTTCAATTTTTAAATTGTTATCGAGTTATTATAACCTTATCCTATACCATAAAACTGACCCACAGGCAGGGGTATTGTGCCAGTTTTTGGAAGAAGTGGATTACAACACAGCGTTTAAAAGTCTGACGGAATGTGTGTGCCACGACTGCATGGACACTTACTACGACTGTATATGGGATGTCAACATACTGGAGTACCTCATCTACCTGCAGAACAAACGAGGCAACAAGGACAGAGCGAAGAAGGCTGTGGACATCATTGGCCTTCTGGAACTCAACTCTAACAACAACGAGGAGATCAAACGTGAAGCAGCGAACAAACGGAAAGTTAGGTTCATGCAAGCACTGGTCCGACAGTATGTTTTATGATAAAGGCCTGTTAACTCTGCGTAGTTGACCTAATTGATCTCTGTGTAAATATTGTAAATAGTTGTATTTTTAGTAGCTTGTTTTTTGTGTAAATTAGCTGTAATGAAATAAACATTGTACATTGAAACAGGTTTGATTTAATTCCTTTAAAGTTTTAAAAGAATGATACTTAGGTAAGGTGATTGCATAGTTCCTCCTATTTGATGTTTTTTGTGTTGTTCATTAATGACTAGCTGCTGCACCCGTGCTTTGCAACCGGAAAAAAATAAGTTTCATAATCATTCACAAAGATTTAGATTTATACCTACTATTTAATTTCTTTGGATTAGCTGTCTGAATTGTGAAATGAGCATTTGGCAAGTTATTCTTGTTTACATTGATATGTCAAAGCAAAGATAAACATACAGTAACTACAGTTTTCTCATTCTGCCATGGAGACCAATCAATATTTAACGGAAAATGACATTGTGGGTACTCAAATTAACCGGTAATTGAGCTAAACTAGAATATGCTAGAACTTTCAAGATCCGATTAATATTAACGAAGATACGGCTGAAAAAGTGTCGGAAAATCAAAATGACAAAAAATAGGATAGGACGGGTTAGGTTAGGATGGGTTACTAACAATACCCATGTTATTGATAACCTAACCTAACGTATAACTCGACCATTTTGAAACAAAAATTTTAATTTTGGGTGAGGTCCGGGGGTCAATATAATTACTGGTTTTGTTCTTTACCTTTATTTAACTGTTTAACATTGAATCAAACTTTTAAAGTCAGTTTAGTTTCATATCAATCAATCAATCAATCAATTATTGAGATGGGGACGCCACCTAGGTGGGTATTTTAACCCAAATATGAGTGAAGGATGAGTGTAGAATGGTGTGTGATGACCTGTGTAGCTTTGTTACTGACTAAGATCAGCGGTTTCATTAGTCAGGATCATTTATTTAAAGCCCAATGATCAGGAACAGCTGGGTCCAGTTTCGATTAAAAAAAGCTCGAAAGTACTTTGGCCAGTACTTCTGTTATATCAATATCCCCTGTGCAAGATCATGATTCCACAGTCTACTTTGTTAATGAAAGTATCAAAACAAAGAAAGATACAACCATACTAACGCGATCCGTTTTGGGGGTTACGTTTATACAAAACTCAAATAGTAAATACATGTACTCAATGCGTTTCATTGAATTGAAAAATAAATAACAGCAATTAAATTATACAGCTGATCAAAATGTAAACAATTATGTTCTTCATAAGGATAACATGGGAACTTTCAAAGCCACTGGGGCAGAGCCCAAGGGACTTTTTCAAAAATGTAAGGCCAGTTTGCAAATCTACGCGACACGCTCTTTCCAATGAGATGTCAATGGATAAAATCAGTTAAGAAATGGCAGAGGAGTTCAACCGACAAAGTTTCATGTAGCGTATTAATTATATAGATTGAGTTTATTGCAGTATAGTTTTAATTATGTATACTTTTTATCAAGTTTATTTCACTTGTTATATTAAGAGTTGTGAATTATTTCCATACTACTGGAATACACTAAAAATTAATGTTTAGAATATGTACACTCGTTGCATACGTCTAACTCTAAAGTAGTTATTTTTCTCCCTGGGCCAAAACAGAATGAGCTAGAGTTAAGGACACCAATTTGCTTGTGTTTATCACCAGCCAAACAGAGTAACTTCAAATTCTTGTTCATCAAACAGAAACCAAAACAGCTTTTTGAGTTTGACCACAGCTTATCTGAGGTTCTTGTAATGAAAGATCAAGCTGACTTAACTTGTATATAAAACAGATTAGCTGTATTGAAAGTATAAAAGGTGTGTTGCTACAGTTAGCTTAGTGGTTAGAGTCGGTTTAGAGTCTGGTTTGATTCCAGGCACACCCACAAAACAATGGATTTGGACCGCTTTCACTAAAAACATTTAATTACTTCCAACAGCAATTTTACAACTAAGAATGCCACCGACTTGCACATCTAGGACACATCATAGATAGCAAAATGAGCTCTAAGGTAGTAAACATACTCAAAATGCATACAATTTAGTTCCATTTGAGATTGTAGGAGATGAAAGGCCTAAAGATTTCACAATTTAATCAACTAACAACTGGTACTAACCTTAATACTAAATAAAATAATTATGTAAAATGCTTTATACAAACAAACACTAAATAATCTATAAACTAGTGATGAGTCAAAAGCTGAATCTTAAATCTACCAAATCTAAAGAAAAAAAATTAATGTCACATCAGTACTGTAAGCATAACATGGCCAGAACAACAATTTAATTTACTTTATTTATATTTCTCCTTTGTTTTGAGCATGTTAACTAATATGATTAGGCTAAAGTCAATCGATTAGACTAGACTTAAATAACAAAATGTGGAATTGTTACATGCTTATCACAATGCTGATTAATTTTATTATTTTATTCATGTTGCATCTTAGGTTGAATTTTGAAATGTGAATTAAATAGGTTTATTTTTTAAAAATTTTAAACACTTTTGAAAACCAATTGTAAGTTTCAGATCTATTTCAGAATAAAAAAAATAGCAGTGTGGGTCAATATTTGCATAACTGAATTTTCAATATTGCTCAAAATAAAAGTTGTACTTGGATTCAAGATACAATGATTGGTAAAAAAAGGTCGAAATAAAGTCGAGATTTAAAATTCTTGGATTTAACCATCACTAAATTAATATCGTCTAAACTGTTTCTTAAACTTCTCGTAGTGATAGTCATCAGTAGCCTTTTCACCGTTCTCTCTTCCCCTCTTCTCTACAACTACAGGTTTCTTCTTGTCTGGCTCAGGTTTATCTCTTCTCTTTGGAGGCCCTGCTTCTTCAATATTAACTAAGGGAAATAAGCCCATTAGTACTTGAAACAGTGCTAAAATACTACTAATGCTGATACAAACTAAAACAAACAGACTCGAATCGTGCTTTAGTTTATATGCTCTCAAAAATCATAAACCTTGCATCATAGTGCAAAAATAAATTCATAGTTGAAATAATGTAAATTAAGTTAATATATGCTACATAAAGCCTGTTAAACGTACAATAATTTAACTTTACCATTAATATTGTTTGAAAATGCAAATAGTTTTTTTAAATTCTATGCTTATTTTTCAATAGATGTTAAAAGTTAAACGCAGTATGATGTTATACTTTGTTCACAATATTTGGACGATAAGAGGGGATGACCCCCACCACTAGATTTTGTATTTTGATGTATGTTGCTTGATCAGGTGTTGAGCTATTATTTTAAAGGTAACGGTTAAGTGGAGGGGATAGATTTCTTCCTCTTCAACCGCCTAAATATTGTTTACCACGTTTTCCTTATGGAGAATCGATTAGTCACTAAAGGTAGCTATCTGCTTGCTTAACAACATAAGTACCGGGGGACCGAGCCATGGCTCGGTATAATTTTTATTTCGATTGTAAATGCAATACAGTAGAGCCTCTTTAATCCGAAACCCTGTAATCCGAATGTCCACTAATCCGAACGCCTCATTTCTGTACTCTATACACAGTACAGTAGTTCTTTATTGTATAGTGTATTTATTGATATCCGCACCATAATTATTTCAATTGTAATATACAGTACTGTTTATTCCCTATGTTTACCACTGTATTTAATAAACGCTGAATTTGACTTTTTAAGGTATTTTTCACTTTTCTCTAACTATTGTTATGTAAAAACAACAATATGTTCTGTAATCCGAACTATTCAATAGTCCGAACTACCCCCGGTCCCAATTAGTTCGGATTAAAGAGGTTCTACTGTATAAAGAAAACTTATGTTTTTTACAACTCATTTTGGCTTTTATTATTTAAATTCCATTGGAATTTAAATTAATTTACTATTAGTACAGCTGTCCAAATTATGTAAACTATAAAAAGAAGTGCATAAAAATTGTAAAATCCCTTAAATAAGAGTGACATTGGTTGACACCAGTGCACTCAAACGGCACAATCTAGAAACACTCGTCACGCATCAAAACTGACTTGCTGTATTGCTTGTGTAGCGAAATACAAATTTTCCTGAGGTGGTGGCTGTCACCAATCACGTTTTTAGAGCTATAAGTCCCTAATTCGTAAATTTAGTAAAAATCCTTCCGCTGGATTTTGAGATATATGTTACAGATAGACAGACAGACTTAGCTTGTATTATAGTATAGGATATATTGATGAGATGTGGGTAGTTTATTTATTTTACCAAAGGGCTTTGACATTTAATCAAAACAAAATTTGGTGCACCTCAGAATAGTTGACTTAGATTCTCATATAGCCAACGTTATTTAAATTAAGTTTTGCTGGGCAAAATCTACGTGTAATTGTTGTTACTACTGTACAAGCTTGTTGAAACAATAACATAACAGATGGATTCGCTTCAGGTTTGGTCCAATTCAGGTACTTAAATACTCACATCTATTGTGTTGAACAAAGTTGACAGCCATGTTGGTAGGAACAAACTGTGAAGGTCCGTCTTTTTTGCTTTGTTTTTCCCATATTAACCTTAACTTGGCTTCTTCTGTTGCCTCAATGTTGCGTATTTTAGCTCTGGAAATTCCAAGTTCTTCGTTACAAAACATTACAGTATTAAGTATTAGAAAATGAAACATGTGAATTTACAAAAAAACTATTCAGTAAACTTCAACTTATAAATCTGGTCTAGTTGGGGTTCCAAAATAACAAGATAAAATTAAATAACCTAAATATGAAAGATTTTGCAATACGCTTTTCCTGGTCCTTTCTTTATTTTTAAGGTGCATTTGCCCCTTTACATAATTAATGGATTAGAACCAGTTTTATTGGTCTTGATCATTGTTACTTAGCATGACTAAACAGACGCAATAGAATAGAACCTAAAACAGCTAGCGGTCGTTGGAAGTGGAGCTGGTACTACTTTATCAGCCTAACAGTCTAATACTCGACACACCAAATGTCAGAGATATACAATACAACTAAACGATTATGCAACCAAAAACTTCAAGGACGAGGTATTTGGTCTATGACAATGACACAACTAAACTGAATTATTTTACACTTTTTCAATTTTTAGCTTTTTATAAACCGCTGGCAAATGACAGTCCAAATTAAGCAAAATTCAAAAATAATGTAGTCCAAATCTATAAAGGTTTACTGTGGTAAAATAAATTCAATTTAAAAATCTTCTTTACTGATGTGAACTTAGGATTTCATGGTCATTCATTACAGTTCACCTCTAAATAATAAAAAATACAACTCTTATTATTAATTCAAATATCCCTTGATTTGTTTTAACTGTCAAAATACTCACTCTATCCCAAGGTCCACCTCTGGTATCCCACTGAGCATCTGGTTGGACAACATCTCCTCAGAGCGCTGGGTGGACGAGGCCCTGAGATGTGTGGGGACGGCCTGCAGTGCGGCTTCCTCTGGCGAGCAATACTTGCCTTCGTCTAAGGGTTTTTCCGACCCTTCTTCCAGCTTCCCTTTCCTCTTTGACAGTTCCTCCTCTATGTATTTCATCCTAGAAGTTGTGCAAAGTAAGAAACAGTTTTTCTCAAAAATGTGTTAAGAGATTTTAAAGGCATAAAATAGCTTCCTCCTTAAGACGGGAGCCAAAATAATAGGAATAAAATTTAGAATGTGTCTTTTATACTAGAAACAAACTTTTGAAACGTATGTTTACTGGTGACGTATCACAATTATGTAAATTTTGTGTTACGAATAAAACATATAATTCTTTTCACAGTGATAACATTTTGGAAATTTGACTTTTTATCTATATCAGTAGGCCTACTAGAGGCGTTAAGATTACAATATAGGTTTGATGAACTTACATTTCTTCATCTTCGTCACGCTTGTTAGTTTCTGCAGAAAACTGAGTTCCTATCCCTGTATCGTAGGCGTCATCAACTTGCTTCACTTTGCCACTTTTTAGAGCTGTCATGTTTACTAGGCCCCCTGTTTTGACCTTAAAAGGATCACTCTGAAAAAAAAAATAACTGTCATAAGTAGGTAAAGAGTCCAATATGTTTTTTTTTTAGAATAGGTGTGATTAAGTTGATGATTAACTTGAGCTGTAAACTTCTGCTCAGAACTAAGGATTAGTTAATTTTTTTACTCTACTTCGGAAATGTTGTTTGAACTAAAAAAACTCGAAATGAATTAAATATTTTTCAAAAATAATAAGAGTTAAACAAGATTTTTGTTTGTTATCATTTAAATGTTCACTGTTAGTCTGTATCACAAGGGAAAATAATCTCTTTTATCTTTTGAAGATTTTAAAATCTTGTAAATCACGTCTCAGAAGAGTTAAATACCTTCACTGCTGTATCTATTGTCACTCCACAATACAGTATGACATTATCTCCTAGATTCGGAATTAAATGGTTTTGTGTAGTATCAAATATGAAAAAAAAAACTAAATAATTGTATATATAAGTTACAAAAGGTTTTAGTATTGCTTGATAATTTTAGGGTAACCATAAATTTAACAAGTTCCAAAAATGTTATGCTTAACCCTCCGAGTGTTATGTGTCGTAAAATCGACACATAACACACTTTGTGTAGTGTTTTGTGTTGATTTTTCGACTCACAAACACTGTTTACAGCGAAGGCTCTATGACTGACAAAATCAGATTGAACTGGATCGAGTTAGGTATCGTTTTAATTGGCAGATTCTAAGCTTTCTCCCGAGGTCTGTCTCTAAGTGCTTTTTTTTCTCGAGCCGATCATAATTGTAGCAGACAGCTGACGTGCGTATTTGTAAACAGTTTGGTTAACCTCGCACCGATGACTGATGTGCTTTATTACGTTTATCATTGTTTTAATGTTAAAAATCAAAAGTAGTGATATATGTGGTGCATTATAAGAAGATTTAAGTGATTTGAAGGGCTGGTTGATGATCCTGAAGAAGTAGGTAGTGATATTGATGTAAATTATCAGCCAGATTCCTAGCTATGGTCAGGCTATGCATTCTTAGCTAAACGCTATGTACCTAAATCTGTTTTTTGCCCATAACTTATTTATTTGCTAATCTACTTCCTTATATTATTATATTTTTGGAATCCTCATAAAATTCTGAACAAAGTGACTATTTTAAAATATTTGTAGACCTATAAATTATAACAATTTATTGAGCGCAAACATAAATTTTTTTCATTTATTTTATAATTTTTGAGAAATGTTAACCCCACAAAAATTGTTGAACATTTTTTTTGTAATGTTTTATATGTTACATTGAAGCCCATAATTTTCCAAACAAAATCATGTATAAAACAGTATACTTTACATTGTTATTAAGTTTCTAAGATACATTTTAATAAAACCCTACGATTGCGCAATAAATGGGCGAACATTAAGACCAAAACTAGACACTTGGAGGGTTAAACAATGAAATAATAAAATATGTACTTGTATAAAACTAGAGACATAGGCTAATATGGATATGAAACTCCTCATTACAATTAGTTAGTATCTTTGTGTGGAACCTAAGCTTAATTGGTGTGTGGTGTGAAAACAGACAGGCAAGCAATCTGTGTAGCAATGTCTTTGCATCGTACAGTTGAAATCTTGCCCAACGAGAATGAATTTTTTCATGAATCACGGAGCGAACATAAACATTTTTGTGACAACTCTGGGTTGATAAAAAAAACAAAGATTAATCAGTGTGGCAGATTGCGTGTAAAAAATATAAAGGTTACTTACAGTCTTCGCAATCCTGTTAATTGAGCACTACGGCCGTTTCGGAGATAACTCCATCGTCGGGTGCGTAGTCATTATACACTAATCTGAGCTATTTACATAAATGTACATGTAAATAGCTCAGATTAGTGTATAATGACTACGCACCCGACGATGGAGTTATCTCCGAAACGGCCGTAGTGCTCAATTAACAGGATTGCGAAGACTGTAAGTAACCTTTATATTTAAAAAAACAAACAAGTCACATACTAACTTATTTTTAACAGCCACTGGTATTGACATAAAACTGGTTTTACTTCATAAAAGAGCTAACAATACGTACGACAAAACATTCTCCCTCCTCCGGAACTTTCTGACCTAGAGCTAAACTGACAATGTTCACTCCATTTGGACGTTCTCGAAGTTTTTGTAGTGTCTTTAGCTCTTCCAACTGTGACCTACAACAAAATATAATTATTTTATTTTACTAAAAGTCATTACAGCAGTCAGGAGTTAATACTTATCCTATATTTTAAACTAGTTTTAGTATTTTTTTAGGGAGAGGAGGGAAAATGCTTTTACGCACACAGGTAGCCAGCCTGTAGTGTGAGACTCCTGAATTTATCAGACTACTCGCTAAAAAAACCCCTCTACTCTGTTGGACACAGACCTGGAATTGTTTGTCACATTACTTCAAGTCAGGCCAATGTGTGACCTAAGCCCTCAGGGCTCTCACCGTTTCTAGCATTTAGATTCTTTATGACCTACGCCGCATCCCGGTCAAGGTCGAGCTTCTTGGCGCGGAGAATACCCTGGATGTAAAAAAGTGGAAAAAAGAATATTCCATGTTATTGGGAATGCCTGAGCAGTATATCCAATCAGGTGACACGGCTTTGCCCATCCTGAACAGGTACGACCTGCAACCTCTTCTTGGTTGCGTTGTCCCTCAAACCACTCACAATTCTGTCCCGCAGATGATCCGGTGGTTTAGGTCCCTTAGATGCCATTAACTGTATGGGCTATTAATTAACAGCTGTGTCTTAGGAATGTCGGCCTTTAGTCACTAACAAGACTACAAGAATTAGATCCTGTAGAAAGCAAAATCATAGAGACTTTAGTTTGTTTATCATAGTTTGGGGTTTTAGTACCGTAGTTGTTGTTTTTTTTATTTTTCATTAAATATAATTTTTTGGTAAAAATTTTTTTATAATTTAAATAGCTTAGGCTACCTACTAATAAAATCGTAAACAAATTATCACTCAACTCGATGTTTTGCTTTGTGAAAAAAATTTAGGAACGATATATTGAATCAGATAATTATCGATACATAACGTTATTCATCCGAAAACTGTACCCGTTTGTCACACTGTAAGAATAGGCCCATAACAATAACACAGAGAATCAATATTTACTATTTAGACAGAGTGAAATTAGGCCTACGGTACCTTACAAGTTAAATTGGCTGCACTTTACTTTAGGTCCTACACTCATTCAAATGGAAATATCGATCGATATATCGATTAAATTGATTGTTTCATTCGATATATCGTTTGGTTAGTTAACCAAATGTAACCAAACGATATATCGAATAACAATCGAATAATCGATATTTCCGTTCGAATGAGTGTAGGACCTAAAGTAAAGAGCAGCCGTTAAATTTTAATCAATATATAGGCTATAGGCCTGTTGAATGAAAATATTATTTGATGATATACCTTATAGGTTCTAGCAGGTTTGTGTCATAGGTCATCGTTGTAACTCGGTTATGGGTAGGTTCTCTGCAGAAATGTATCCTATGAATGATTTTTAAAAATCCATTGTTTGGACTTGGCCAATTAATTAGACTTCAGAAAAAATACAAATGTAGCAGCAGGCGTTAAAAAACAAAAAGTATAATATATAATAGGGCTACCCTATATGTAACAACTCTTTTTAAATTGGGCTGCACTTTACTTGACGTCCTACACTCATTCGAATGAAAATATCGATCGATATATCGATTAATCGATTGCTTCATTCGATATATCGTTTGGTTAGTTAGGTAAGGTTAACCTAACCTAACTAACCAAACGATATATCGAATGAAAATATCGAATCGAAAAAACAATCGAATGAGTGTAGGACGTCAAGTAAAGTGCAGCCTTAAATTGTATAATTTATTAATAATAAGTTAATGCCTTACAAGGACCAAAGGCTAAATCTATGTTATACCGTTTTACTCACATAAAACTGTTCCCCTCTTCTTCAGAATCATTGTCTGATGAATCAGCTCTCCTACGCAAATTCTTTCGAATTTTTTTACCTTTACTTTTGTCCTGTACATCCGCATCAATTTTATCGTCACTACCACTCATTTTTTAATAAGTTTACCCCTCTAAATAAGTTAGAGGTATAATGATATGTTCTCTTCTATTCCATTCTAACTTTTTTATGGATTGAGCAGTTAGGTTATATTTACCGTTTACCATTAGCTTTTGACAGACCAGATCCAGATGTTTGGTAGATGTTTTTTTGTAGGTTTTGTTTGATGAGGTTTTCTGAAAACGGTACACCGAAAAATAAATGGATTAAGTCATTGATTATTGAACTAGGCAGCTTTAAATTAAATATATATTCGAGAGTAGGTAATGAGGTTATAAAAGAGCATGTGCTCAAGCATAGATTGGTGTTGCAAATGGGCAAATGGCAATTATCTTACTCTGCAGGTTTGCTACGGTGGGGGTATTAACTTTAAATTGGGGTTATAGTTATATTAGTACTGCTTCACCCACGGTTACCTTTAACTTCAGGCCGCGGCCTTCAAAGTGATAACATCGCAAGTAGGGTTGTACCGGTTGTTTTTTTTTTTTTTTTTGGAGGCATCTAATGGTATTTGTGTATTTTTTAAGAATATGAAAGCTTGGTAACTGGGCTATAATGAAAATATTAACTCCACTTTAAAAGTACAAACATAGATTTTCATTTTAAATATTGTTTTGGTTTTCAATTACTGTATATATGTTTTATTTTCAATCTTTTAATACATTTATGTTCATAAATTTATGAATAATACGTGAATTAAAGAGCTGATGTCTCCTGTCTGCCATATTATCTTATGGGACGTCTGGCGCTACACAACACTACTTGCAACGTTGCCAATTCTACCAGGCTGCGGATTCTAGCAGGTGGCCGGGATTCACCAACACGTCAACACAGTCAAGGCAGTGTTCGAAGTCGTTTTTGGAAAAGCGAAGTCTGATTTCCGAATACGGAAAGTAAAGTAAGTAAGGCAGTGTTCAAGTCAACATACTGGATCATTCTCATACCTGCGTCCTGCCTTGTTTTTTAAGAAGATCCATTTAAAATGATCCCGTTGCTATAGAAAGGTTAATATATTAGTTGCACGAATACTAGAAAATATAACATACTTTACCTCATGAATACTCTAAACATGTTATCGCGATTTTACGTGAATTTGATCGTAAAACACAAGCCTTCGTAGGGAAGCTAAAAGGTATGTGTACTAATTACCAAAATGTATGTTATTGTTTCTTCATAATATTGCAAAACGGCTAAATCATTATACAAAATGTATGTTAGTATGTTTTGAAAACTGAACTACCTATATAGTTGAATTTTCAGGTGCTTGTGCTTGCAACATTACATTTATTGCCACAGTTTAGATCTTAGATCAATTTTGAAAAGTTGTTATAACCTGTCTACAGTATTTCTAACAATTTCTCTCTGAGGAGTCAGATTCTAACCACTCTTTCATCATCAACCATCCAAGTCAAGTGTCATTCAAATTTTCTTCCGATCCACATTTCTTTCAATAGAAACTGCAGACATAACGTAAGAACATTAAGTGTTTCCTTTGGTAAACTTAAATTCTTCATGAGATATTTTCAAGATATGAGGGAGCTTAGTTTGTTTTCAGTCTTCTTAACGCAAGTGTTATATATTACCATTGTCTTTATGATAGATATTACCCAGTGGCGGCTCTAGGACCTGGTCAAGGGGGGGACTCCGGGGGGTTTGGGGGGTGTGGAACACCCCCCAAGAGAAGAGGGGGGTCCGGGGGTCCTCCCCCGGAGAAAATTTGACATTTTTAAAGCCGTTTGGTGACTTTCTAAAGCAATTTTTAACGCCTAAAACTGTGTCCAATAATAGCCCAAAAACTCCCATTTTACCTGTTGTTTGTCATGCGAGCAAGTATAGCCTACATAAGTAGGCCTAGAGTAGAGTAAAGTATATTTTTTAAATAGTTTTTACCAATTTATTTAATAGATCAGATTTATTATCCTAACAGAACTAGGCCTATATTAAATATGAATAGATATTGCAAAGCATAACAATTAATCCTCTATTGTGGTTTCTATTTCATAATTTAACTTGCAATTTTTAAACCTAGTTTTAATTTTTACTGGTCAATTTCGGAATTTTGGTGGAGGATTTTGACCCTCTAAACTCTAAAATCAATTGGCATGTATAAACAAGAGAAATTGGCTCCCTCTTGTTTTGAAGGTTTTTTGCCGCTGCGCGTGCGCAAGTCTGCAGTTGCGTCATTAGTAGTGGTGTGTTTACGTTGTTCTCAGAATGGCGCGCATTTTACCCCGCACTACACGTATATCTGTAGCTCTGGCGCTACCCGCCCGTCCATACAACCTTCAACCTTCTCCCCCCATACCCTCCAAAACGTAACTACCCTGCGGGCTGTGAACAATCTTAATAATTGGTGACTCATATTATTAAAACTAACACTAACTACTAACATTCTAAATACATAGGCCTACCTTAATTTAATTGTTTGAAACAGAAGTTCATCCGTCGGTCCTTCTGCTCCGAGAAATGTTGGATGACAAGCTCGTTGAAATTGTGTGTTTTTAAAAGTCCCTTCTCAATTGAGCACATTGCTAGTGCATTCAGCCGGTCTTCTCTCATGGTGTTTCTTGTAAATGTTTTTATGCGTTTAAGCGTTGAAAAACATCTCTCACTTTCAGCATTGGACATGGGAATTGTGCAAATAATTTTTAGAAGCTTAACAGACTCAGCAAGGACGCCAGTTAAATTATTTTCATAAATGAAGTTTAATAACATCAGCGATCCTTTGGCACTTTTAAAGTCATCCCTGCTATAAATTACAGATAGCTCTTGTCTTAGCTCCAATTTATTAAGACCAAATATATTTACAGCAGCTTCCAGCTCTTTTTCGGGAAATGTATCTTTATATTTGGAAAATAATGTAGGCTCAAAAAGCACACCGACTGACAGATGGTCTAGGAAGCTAAAACGGTCGTTAATTCCGGTAGTTATGACATCGCACACTTCCTTAGCAACAATGTCTTTTCTATCACTAAAGCGAGCGCGCTTTGTTTTGGGTTCGAGTTCGGTTTGTGATGACTCATCATGTAGTGATTCATTGTCTCGACTACATCCAGCTGCACTTGCAGTGTGTGTATCAGGATTGGAAGAATTCCTTATCTCTGAGATAGCCTTTTTAAAATCGTCTACGTATTTCCGTGCTTTTATGCAATCAATACTGCGATGCTGGATTTCATTGTAGAGAATATCTACATGAGGCATAATTTTGTTAAAAAATCTAAGCCAGTAAATAAAGTCCTCACTTTGGAGGATGTGTTGTAGGCCAATAGCTTGGTTTATGGTTTTGTAGTCATTACTGTTGTCGTCAACAATTTTCCCAAGACATTCATCAATTTCGTGGTTGTAATTTTGTATTGTAGAAACGATCCTTGATTTGTAGTTCCATCTAGTTGCTGGATTTTTCGGCATGCGTTTTTTAACGATGTCGTCAAGAACTTTGGTTCGTTTTGTTGACTGAGAAAAAAAAGCTGAAAATCCTTCAATATTGCTGAAAAATATCTTAATCTGTTTGTTTTGAGTAGAACACCTCTCTACAATTAAATTTAATTGATGTGCATAACAATGAACGTAGTGGGCGTTTTTATAAACTTTTTTCACCCTAGCCTGTACGCCAGTATGTTGCCCACTCATCGTAGCCGTGCCGTCATAGCTCTGGGCTATTACTTTGTCGGGGGTTTTATCCAGTCCTAGCTTCTGCAATTCACAAAATATAGCCTCACTAATTCCCTCAGCATTCAAACTCTTGGGGTTGACATAAGTGATAAATCTCTCTTTAATTTGACCACTCAATTCGTACCTAACAATAAAAACCAATTGAGATAGTGTAGCTACGTCTGTGGTTTCATCTGCTTGAATTGCTACATAACTGCTTTGGCGAATTTCCTCGGAAATCAGTCGATGGCAAACTGAATAAATCGAGTCAAGCAAATCGTTTTGAATTGTTTTAGAAAGGCCAACAAATACTCGATTGTTTGTCTTTTCAATGTGCTGTTTCAGTGTAACATCTATGTCAGCCATTAGATTAATCAAACCTCGAAAAATTCCAGGATTGTCTGATGAATCACGTTCATCGTGACCCCTTAGAGCTAATTTAAATATACCACAAAATTTAACTGCATCGATAAGTTTGTTTAAAATATATCTGTTATTAGCAACTTCTTCATTGTGTTTTTGAATATTTAACCTGTAGGCATTGTCCAGCTGGCTTGCTATATTAACTTTACCTAAAACTGCATATTCGATACTAGCATTTATGTGTTTCTCACTAATTTTATGTTTTTTTACTTTTTCCGCCAAGTGTTTTAAATCTGTCACACCATTAACAGTCCAAACAGAGTCACTAGCATTCATAACCAAACAGTAATAACAGAAGAAAGCATTCTTTTCGTTACAGCCACACAACCACTCAGCATTGTTGTACATAGATTTGTTAAAATTTCTAGAAAATCCTTTTCTACTCTTGCAAGATTTTTGAGATTGCGTTATAACTAAATCAGGTTTTGGCGGGCCTAGCAGCTTTAACTCAACTCTCTGTTCAAAACTTACCACCTCGCAACTGGCATACTTCGTTGAAATGTTTTTCACCGAATTCATTGTTCATTAATTCGCACTACACACTACTACACTACACTTAAAACGAAAAGAAACAGAGGTACAGGTACAACTGTATATTAATTAATTAATTAACTACTATAGTATACCGGCGGCACGGCACGATAACATAACCTCACAAAACTAAAATTTGACTGATCTCTACATAAATTGCGTTTGACAGATCGAGATCGCTCGCTGCACCCAGCGCTTGTTGTGGCAATAGTTTGAACTACTGTTTGGACGGAGTCCCAAACGCCCTATATCTGTTGCATTGGAGCCTGATGCAGCGCTGTGATTGGTCGAATATTTCCATGCAGTTTATATGGGAGTTTGGACTCATACCTACTGCGTCCCGGCGTACTACCTGTTGCAATAACATGTGGCGTCCTCTACTACCCGTCCCAAGAACATTGACCCTACTGACGTTTATGTACATTGAATGTAGGATTGTAAATTATTTTTAAGTATGTTATTATTTTTTTTTTTACTATTTTG